ACCACAAAACCCAAAAATAGTAGCTTATTTGTGCAAGAATTCTTTTAAAACAAAATAAAACAATCCATAGGCATAGCCAGAGAGATGAAAAATGCCTCACGTGACATCCACAGAGTGTCACACCAAAAAATAGAGATTAACTTGACAGTGAGACGGATGAAGGGATTAAGCGGTATCATAGGGTGATTGACCCGTATAAATTGATAGATAATTTTATAGCCAAGCTGGAATATTTCTTTTGTGTTCCTGTGATATTATTTCTCGGATAACCTTTTAACAACTTTGACCACAGAAAAGAAAAAAACAACTTTTAACAATTACACCAAACAACTAAAGTAAATTTTCTGCATTTTGTATTTAAGCACTTAGACATCAAAAGATGAAAACTTAAGCAAAAAAAAAAGTTTAAGAAGATGTTTAAAGAAGGCCAAGAAGTTCCAAAGCTAGGAGATAATTATTCGATTGTAGGAGAGTTTTAGAGATTTACAGTTGAGAAAACTCTTCCTTGGTTGAGATTTTCATTTCGAGCCCTCAACCCAAATGAGAGACTCCTAGGGTTTAATCCAAATACGTGGGGATCTGAATGCATACAAAAGATGTCTACCTAGGAAACTTAGTTTAAAAGATGATTTATGCATCAAAATATAGTAAGTTGCATCTAGAAGAAAGGTTACTCCTTTTTAAATTTTACGTTATTTTATTGATTTATATATAGGGTTTTTAATTTTTACTTAAAAAAAAAAAAAAAAAAAAAAAATAGTTTATGTCAACATTTAACAAATTCACTAACAAACTGGGTTATGGAGGGTCTCATTTATTGGATTGCCATAAGTTTGGGTACCCATTTGTAGAAGAGAGACTCTCATGCAAAGGGGATAATACTTTTTGCTATCCTCGGCTAATAACATAATGACATGTCAGATAACTTTTCCAAATGTCATTATGTTATTGACCAGGGATAGCAAAATAGTGTTATTCCCGTTACAAGTAAGTTTTTTATTTTTTTAATTTATTATAAATATTTGTACGGTCTTCCATGTTTATGTATGAGTTTGAAATGACCTCTATAATTTAGGGGATTTTATGCAGTTCATCCTAACGAGTTCCTTTTAAATAATTTTTTACTATATTTTATTTGGCAAGAATCTCGTGGGATTTTCTAGGTTCAGTTTGAGCTATCATGTAGAAAACTAGCATGACTAGGATCAGATCATAAAATGCTAGTTTTATGATCAGTGCATTGCTTTTGACCTACTCTGGCTTAATTAACACCTTGTCCCTCAAGATCAACCCCATCAAGGGGTGGTTATCTTGCACTTGCAACTGTTGGCTTCCCAATCTTTTAGGCCAAGTGTCAATTCGGCCGGATTTATTTGGTCACAAACACGTCATGTTTCGATGTTGTGGTGGTGTGGGCATGCTAGTACTTGGGCCGAGAAACGGTCGTGAGTACAAATGGATAGTGAGTGATGGATGTGCTCCTTTATCTTCACTTCTTTCGAGTGACTATGGTTGAGGGAGGAATAATCCTCGGCTACTAGGTCCTAGGCCTCGGATGCAAGTCCTTATGAACGGTATGGACATCAAGAAACCTACGTCTCAGCAATGGATTGGCTCACCAGACTTAACCAAGATGTGTGTATCTGTTTCCCTCTTTTCGGCCGGGGCGGCCGACGAAAGGAACTTTTGGTCCTTCTTCTTTTTTGAGTGCGGGGCGTGCCACCACCAAAGCCCGAATTTGGGCTTGAATGGAATGTGAGTAGATGGATGTGTTGCGTCCGAGATCTAACTTTAATCAAACGATTGTTCGGCCGAGCAAGGAACTTTCTCACAGCCTAGGTTCTTTCACTACCTTAGAGTCAAGACTTTATGTGAGTAACCAAATGATATGGAGGGGGTGGAGATGAAGATTGAAGGTGAAACGTAATGAAACGAAAAATAAGTGCGTAAAGTAAAGGTGCTTAAACTTAAATATAATTTAAAGACAAATGCGTAAAGTAAAGTGCGAAAGATAAATAACGTAAAGACGAGAATTAAAGTGCGATAAAATGAATCAAAACGATAAATAAAGCAAGAATGAAATGAAAGCGATAAGAACAATAAAGTAAAATGAACTTGAAATTAAACTTAATTGAAGTGCGATAATAATGAAAAGTAAAGCAATTGAAATAAACTTGAATTTAAATTACAAGAAAATATAAATTGAACTAGAATTTAAACTTATACTAAGAAAATGAAGAACTCGCTACACTAAATGCATTAAAAGCAAAATCCTAAGTCTAGGAAAAGAAAAGTGCGAGACAAAAAATAAGTTTGTCTGTTTGATGTTGTGTGTCTTCTGTCTTCGTCTGGTGAGGTTTATATAGGGCATTCGTCAGTCCATGGGCTGGTCAATGAATGGCCAAATGTCAACCCTTTTAAAAATCTTTCCTTTTGAGGCCCCTTGAATTCGTGGGATTACATTGGTTGAAATATTCTGATTGCTTGATTCTCTCTTATTTTGGAGTATGCTGAACTATCATCAATCTCCTTGATTTGTTTCCTTGTGAGGCCTCCATCACATGCACATTAACCTTTGAAAATCTTGGGCGTGAATCCGTGGCTTGGGCCTTGACCTCCGAGATTTCATCTTGACATTTAGTGGAACCTTGTGCCCCTTGAGTTGTTAGAATTCTAGACTTGGCTTACCATCCGTCGACCATCCGCCAAGATGGGTGGTATGGGAACTCCAAATATTGATGTTGGGCTTGGCCCTACATTGGACTATATTTGAGTTCTCAAATATTCGAATATTGGGAATTCAGCGAACATAACTTCCGCCGAACTTCAACGCCCTTGGCCTGACTTTGCTTGCCCAAGTGTTGAGAGGAAGGCGCCAAGGTGAGCAAGGAGAAAATTTCGCCATAGCCTAGCTTTTTGTAAGAGGAGTGGCCGACCAAGGTATTCAAGGAGTGCCCAGCCCAACTTTTTGAGAATGAAGCATTCGGCCACTTTTGTAAGGATATGCCCGGCTACTTTTGCAATAATATGCCCGACCACTTTTGTAAAGGGAAGTGCTCGACCATATTTTTTAGAAGGCACCACGGTCTTTGAAGAAAACACATCGGCCACATTTTTTAGAAGGCACCATGACCTTTGAAGAAAAGACCTCGACCACCTTTTTTAGAAAGCACTTCTGCTGCTAGGAATTCTCGGCCGCTAGTAATTCTTCGGCCGCTAGAAATTCTCGGCCGCTAATAATTCTCGGCCGCTAGGAATTCTCCGACTGCTAAGAATTCTCGGCTGTTAAGAATTCTCCAGCTGCTATGAATTCTTCGACTGCTAGGAATTCTCGGCCTTTAGTAATTCTTCAGTCGTTAGGAATTCCACCGCTAGGAATTCTTCGACCGTTAGGAATTCTCGGCCACTAGGAATTCTCGACCGTTAGGAATTTTCAGCCGCTAAGAATTCTTCGGCTATTAGGAATTATCGACGGCTAGGAATATCGGCAGCTAGTAATTCTTTAGCCACTAGGAATTCTCGGCCACTAGTAATTCTTGGCCGCTAGGAATTCTCCGACCGCTAGGAATTCTCGGCCGCTAGGAATTCTCGGCTGCTAGGAAATCTCGCCTGCTAATAATTCTTCGCCCACTAAGAATTCTCCAGCCGCTAGGAATTCTTCACCCGCTAGGAATCCTCACCTGCTAGGAATTCTCTCCCGCTAGGGATTCTCCGGCCGCTATGAATTCTTGGCCTCTAGGAATTCTTCCTTGGCAAATTGGGTGAATTTTGACCACTCCCAAACAGTATCTTGACCCTTGAGGATGGTGATGGCACTGTGCACGATAGCACGTCTGGTTCAGATCCCTATCCGGAAGAATCTTGATGAATTGTATGGCGACCAAGAAATAAAATCAAGACATGTTTGTATTCCTGAGCAATCTCTTATTTTATATAAAGATGGATGATGGAAGTGAGTATTGCTCACGAGCTCAGAACAGATTCTAAGACTCCGTAATATAAAGTACGCTAATCCTAGAAAGCATTTAAAACTTTGACATGATAGACGAAGGGGATTTTTGCTCGTTGAGGCTTTTTTGATTTGGTGTTTGTACTCTTCTTCCGTTGGTGGGGATCTTCTATTTAGAGGGGAAGTGTAGACTCTTTCGAAGCATGCGTCGGCCCCTTGGGCTGAGCATGACGTGAGCTGGCCAATGTGGTAAAGGCGTGCCCGAAATGGGTAAGGTCACTAGCTTGGTCGTGAGTCCCAAGGCTCATATATGTTCAAGAAATTTTTGCAGATCTCATGATTTCGGCCGAAAATCCCACTCCGGGCTGAGACTGTAGTCACGGTCATAGGCCTCAAAGGCTGGGTTTTCCTATTTTAGTCATTGGGCTGGAGTTTCATAAAATGGGCCAAGTCTGTGACCTAATGTGTCCATGCAATGTCATCTTTTCTCATGGGGTCCATGTGGAAAATTTTTGCTGTAAACAACAAGTAGAAAGAAAGAAAAAAAATAACCAACTATATTAAATGATTCTTCCTTGCTGTAGTAAATAGAATACAACATTTAATTTCTTTGGTTACTTTTGACCGAAAAGCATAAGAGGAATTAACTAATCATGACACATTCACTTCAAAATTTCGTGTGTCACTTAAAAATTAATTGTGACACACGTTAAATAAAGTACATTTGGTCTTATTGTCCATTATTATAACGTATAATGATCTGGTGTAATGTCAACGATCATATTTTTTTTTATTACATTGGAGGAAAGAAACTTCAATGGAGTTTGATCCTGAGTGCCATCGTTGGAGGGGAATCCATCACCACTGTGGTGGGAACCCATTGGCAATGTCAATGATCATTTGGTGTAGTTGCAATCATACTCTATTTTGTTGGAGGAGATTTTGTGTCAAATCTCATGGACGACAAAAATAAAACAAAAACAAAATAAAAAAGATGTAGGGCATAATGGAAAATTGTAATTGAAGGAAGATTGATAAAAGGAAGACATTTTTATGCTTTGGGGCTTGGTTCTCCAATATCTTCTCTAACATTCCACTTGCTAACACGGTTACGAGCTATTGTTACCTGTAGAAGTTTACGACTTTTAATTGCTTGGTGTGAATTAGATACTTCAGTTTCACATTTAAGTGAAATCTATAGTAATAAAGGCTACAAAGAAAATATTTAAACATACCTGTTTCTCCCAATCAGTTTTGCAAGTGAGTATGACTAGTACAATAGTTTGGACAAATGTTCCAAACAACATTCCAATCCATACACCCTACAAAACAGACTTCATGGAATAAGTAATTTTTTTATAAAAAAAATTGAGAAAAAAAAAGAAAAAAAAGAAGAGAAAATGCCCTATGGAATAAGTAATTTTCAATTATCATACTAACGGGATCTCGCGTTCGAACCTCTATGATACCTTGATATAGTGTATGTGTGTAAGACTCCCCTCTCCTTTATAGTTTAGACCATCGGTTGTATTAAAAAAAAATTCTATTGTCGTAATAGAGTGATAGACACCACAAAATCTAACCACTAACGACTATATATATATGAGTGAAAAGAAGAAAAATTATAGCTCTCACTTTGACTTGTAGATGTAGAAGAAAACCCAACACAGCTCCAATAGGAATCCCTATAAGATAATAGCACGCTATGTTGACATATGCTACAATATTCTGCCATCCAGCTCCTATAGCAACTCCTGTGGATAAAAATTTGCTAATGCTTATGTTGCAAGTTTTTTCAGGATCTACAGTACTGGTAAAGGTTAAATTAATTCTAATCAGGGAAAATAATTTGATTGAGTATCGAAAAAATGGCAAGAATACCAGAGAGCACAGGCTGAACACTGTTCAACAATATGGAGAAGGCCAGTAAAGGTGACAGGTCTGCAACCTTCTTAGCTACCTCGTCGTTGGTGGTGAAAATGTAGGCAAGACGTCCCCTCAAGAGCAGGAAAAGCAAGAAGAGCACAAAGCCAATGGAAAGTGATGTCAACACAATAACCACAACAGAGAACTTTGCCGCCTTTGCGTTACCCCGTCCAAGCTCATTCGACACTCGTACACTGGAAGAAGAAGATTTCAACCGAACATCAGTACATCGCTACGTTGCACGAAATAATGCATCTAATGTTCCAAATGAATGTAAAATAAAACAACATTAGCCATTATAAATTATACATTGCTATATTTCTGAAGAAACAAGATGATGAGAATAGTAAACTACCTTGCTGTAGCCAGGAAACCAAGGGCAATCATCATTTCCCACCCATTGATGTTGAGGCTAAACATATTTGTAGTTGAACACATAAGAATGAAAAGAAACCGCAAGAAGATAGAAAGTAGTTTAAAAACATGTGAGATGACAGAGCTTATGTCTACGTAAAATCGAAAGGAGGAAGGCTAGGAAAATTACCAAATAGCTAGAGCATCAATAGAAACTTCAGCATCTTCCATGTTTCCCGTTAGAAGAACCAAGATCGTGTTGTACCAAAGCTCGAGGCTGTAACGGAAAATGAGATTTCTACTCAGGAGCTCCGTATGTACTAAACGGAGAAGTCATAAGACCTTCATTCCAAAATGACTATATCATTATTGTACGAAGGCTTGACAACTAAACTAGTACCAAACTAGTTCTGAAATAACTGATATTTCCTTTATTTTCAAACAGAATATTACTGAAAAGTTAAACTAGCATCGGATGACATGGAAAACCAAAACGAAGAAAAAAACAATTTCTTACCAAAGCATAACACCAGATGACAGAGAAAGCTTGACGACATTCCATAGATCTTTAAAAGCTAAGGTAGAGAAGCCAGTCCAAGTGTCTGGGCATCCTCCACATAGAACAAACAAGAGCTGACCAATGTTGGGTAGCCAATATGCTATAATAGTCGACACCATTACACCGGCAACCCCCCCACTTAAATTTGACAGTCAAAAGCCATGAAAGGAGGATGTGGATTGCAATTGAAATTGCCGACACATAAGCAATGATCATATTTTTGCTCTGTGCTTGTAAGTACATTTGGCAGGTAAAGGATACAACAAAAGCAAAAAGCACAGGGATCACCCATAGAGAAATATATCCTGCCTCTTCTGCAATATTATCTTTTTGGCCTAAAGCCTCGAGAATCGGAGTTGCGAAGATGCAAATAGGAATGAGGAACAATGTGCTCACAAACAGTACTATCCATGACCTTTGAAGATGCACCCCAAGCATGTGGTATTGCTTTGCACCATATGATTGACCACAAACAGTTTCCAACGCACTAGCCATGCCCAGCTGTAGAATAAGAGATTCAGAAACGTCATTCATATTGCACGGAAAAAGCCTAAGCGAAGCAATTATGTGATTTTCCGTAGCCAGATGACTCCATGCTAGGTTGCAAAACAGATGACAAATTAAAATGCAGTGTGGGCATTTACATTTGAAAAAGGATCAATACGCATATATTAGTTTTGGGATTTTATTTCATTGACTTCCATTTGAAATGCATATCATAAACAATTAGTAATATTCGAATCCATATACGTGAATTTGTGTTCATTTTCAGTACATTAACAAGAAACAAACAACTCACAGAATACGTGAACAGAAATTGAAACTGAACTACTTGTGTTCAACAACTTCATGAATATTCTTACGTACTTGTAAACTAAATAACAACAATGAAAATGTTTGATCACTCAAAAAATGGCTCAATTACCCTACTTGGGAATATCTATGAATGGCTTTGTCTGTATGCCAAATACCAATGTAATATAAGCAAATTTTCATTCCATGAATGAATCGCTTAACTAGGCCGCCAAGAAAACACTGACTTGTCATCCAAGTTTTCAATCAACCTATCTAACCAAGTTTCAGTCAAGAAAAATAAATACTGTCGTCAGTTTCATGAGACTAAGTGAAAAAAAAACATACCAAGAGGCCATTTGCGAACCGAACAAGTACGGTGAATACAAGTGAAAATGCAGCCAATTCAGTGGAGCCAATGTGACCAATGAAGGCTTGACTGACGATATTTGTTCCAAAGGTGGAAACTCTGGTGAATATTGCAGGGCCAGCCACCACCCACAGCTTCTTGCTTTCATTCCATACCCTGGTTTTGAGTGGCAAATCCTCATACTTATCATCAACACGATTCACTTGTGCACTTGCCTCTCTTATCAGAAGATTATTTGTGATGTCTTCTTCCATGTTAGTGTAACCAAGGGTACTCTAGCTAGCTTCTACTGTTTCTGTCTAACCTGCCAAGTGCCAAATACATACATACAAAAGCAAGCCCTTTTGGGACACTTTTACAGACTCCTATATAAATCAACTGTGGAGATTAGCTGCACCAGAAATTCACGGCACCTGAACATTGCAACAACCCTTCATTAAGAATTTAAGTTTATGAAGGGTTGTTGCACCAAATTTAAGTTTATGACCTTATTAATTAATACACATTAATCACCTTGACTAAGGACAGATGCTCGAAAGTCAACACATACACATAGCAGTACTAATTACTATATTTGATTCTTCTATTAGAATCAAGGATGAATTCCATGAGAAGCTAGAAACCAGACAGGAGCAGACAAACTCCAACGGTGAACACCAGCACCACCATATCGAGACACAAACGAGGCCACCGACACCACGTGTTGCTTGGATTGCAATTGGAATGATGTGATATATTATTATATTTTATGAAAAGTGTCACGTAAAGCTACAATGTTTGTGAAAAGTTACATGAAAGGTTGCAGGGTCTTGAAACATTGCACTGATACATAGGTATTGGTTGCATCTCCTTGTCTACACCGGTTAAAAGAAATATTCATTGGACATAAATTAATGAATTATGTCACATGCAATGATACAGTGGTTTGTGAAACAGTCGTATCATTTCGGCTGAATTCATTTCAGTCACGATGGGAAGATTTTTTATAAAAAAAATATTCAAAATTTAGCCCATACTTTTTATAAATGTCATTTTTTTATAACACTTTCAAAAATAGTAAAAAGTTGGGAAATGGCCTCCAATGCCACCCATTTCATAATTTTAACTAAAAATACCACCATTTCCCAAAATTTTTAAAACTATCACATATAAATACATCTTTATTGTCGACTGATTGCACCCATATCACATTTTCAGAAATTTTGTTCTCTCCACCGACCACAGCTTCTTTTGCTTTGCAAAGTCGTAATCGATAATATTGTTTGCTCCACTGAGATCTTCGTTGCCGCCTACCACACATCCACCGGAAAGGCCTTGGCTTTCACATCGTCTCTCGCTTCTTCTCACTTGGACTCACCGACCTAGCACGCCAACTCGCCCAACAGCTCGCTGGCGTTGCAGAGATCGCTCACTTCTGTAGCTGCCAGCAGGATGAAGAAGGCATTGCGTCTCAAATCGGCGGGTTCGGGCTCCAAGAAGAGTCTTGGGTCCGGTGGGTCCGGGTCGGGACCCGGAAAGCCCAAGCGGGTTATGACAGTGGGTGAGCTAATGAGGATCCAAATGGGGATTTCTGACGCTATGGGACTCTAGAGTCAGGAGAGCTCTGCTTAGGATTTCTGCTGCTCAGGTGAGCTCAATTTCTGTGCTTTCTTATTTGTGATCTTGGTTGATCTGGTTTGATGGGTTTGATTTTGTTTGGTGGGTAATGCTTGATTTTATCACTGTGATAATTGTGATGATGGGATGGATATGGAGCTTAATTTTGCTACTGGTTTGGCCAATTTTGGATTTTGGTTTTTCTTACTTTAAAACAAAAATTGTTTCTTCACTAAGTGTAGTTCAATCTGATAAAACTGACAATGCAAAATGTTTCACGAATGTTTAATTTCATAATGGGTAATTTCAAACTTTTGTAATTTGTAATTTCATAATGTTTAATTTCATAATGCAAAATGTTTCACGAATGTTTAATATCAACATATTAATTTGAGTGATTATGCCACTATTTAATGATTTTAGGCTCTCCTATTGTGTGTATTTAACTGGTTCATATGATGCTGTTTCTTCAGGCCTTCATTCAGAACTTGGCATTGTTTCTCACTTCATTTTACAAGGCAAGTTTGTTAGCTTTCAGATAAATATGTCGATATATTGCCTTGCCTTCGCCAGCCGTATTTGGATATGATAGTTTTGCTGTTTGGTTTATGTTGTAACAGAATCTTTAAGCTTTACGTATTGTGTTGTCTATAATTATTGTTTACTTATCCATAAAAGAGTTTGCAATTATGATTAATCTTTAAGCCTCCAATGAGGATGTTATTAGCTGTCTCCTTTTCTTTTTGCAGTCACATATTCGTGTGCTTGAAACCACACAACAGAATATAGCCGCATTGCTGATGGGTCTTGAATATCTAATAAACATCTCATATATGGATGACACTGAAGTTTTTAAGGTATAATTAATTATGATGTGCTCTCTAGCACCCACCCGAAGGCCCTATTTAGCTCTTTCTCTCTCTCTCTTCCCATTTGAACAATGAAGTGATAATTTGACTTGGAATTGGTTGTTTCTTCGAGCAAGATTGCTTAGAATATTAGAATTCCTTGGTTTTGGAAGTGTTTGAGTTGCATCATAATTTGGATAACCCTGCAGCAGCTGCAAATATGATGGGGCTGCCGGTAATTTAGATACTTTTATCTTTGAAATTTTTGTTGTTTTGAGTTTTCTGTTTTCTACTTTGTATGAATGCTTCCTTTAGTTTTACTTGAATCCCCCTGTTTTTCTTTAGTCTATCCGACTGTAATTTATTTTGTAATCTCTTTGTAGTTGAATAAAGATGTATGGTTTGAAATTGGTAGTAGATAGGTAAGTCTTTTCTAAGTTTCCATCAACGAGAAGGTTGTCTGGGAAAAGACCAATTTATTATCTCAGAACTTGCAAACCTTCCATATTGAAAGAGACTCAACAAGTCTGAATTAGTTAGGTGTCTTAAATTTGTTTTGAAATTTTGGGGAGATTTTCAGTTAACCATTGGAACCTTTACCATTTTCCTATCAATAACATTCAAATCTTTTCCCAACAAATTTTGAGACAGTAGGTTTTCTAAGCATTGTGTCCATGTCACTCTTGCTCATTCACGTGGACAATCACATTAGCCATGTAATGCTTCTTTAGTTTTGTTTTAAAAATGGATTTTCTGTGTATGAGTTTAGATATGGTATTGGGCAACTTTCTTGTTAGAAATTAAGTTCAGAAGCCTTTTGAAAATACTATCTACAGAAGCTTTTTAAATTTATTTTAATCTTACCAGAAACTCAGTTTCTACGATATGCTTCTTTCTTAATAGTAGAAAACGTATTGGATTATTTGTTATTTTCTTTCTTGAATGTTTTCATACTTATTTTTTGTTATTGGTGTCATTTTGATCTTGTAGATCATGAGGGAGATAATATTTGTCACACCTTGAGCATTGGAACAACTTAAACACCTTATGCTGGGCAATAGGGTCCATATCTGGTTCCATGATGGAAGAACAAGTATTGTTTGCTCTTTGTTCATCAGTTTATTTTTATGCTTAACTGAAGTCTTAATTATCTTTGATTTGATGTATAGCTCTGATTTGAGTTTTGAGTTTCATGAAATTTTCAATTATTGTACAATTCTTTAATCACAATTTCATTTGCGCTCTGCATCTGCACATGGGTTGTTTCAGTCATTATTTCTATATCAGTTTGTGTTTCATGAATATAACGATTGTATATGTTTGCCTATGTTTGTTTCTAGTCAGCAGCTTTGTCATAGGCATATTAGTGTAGTTACCGTATTGCAAGGGCTGAAATCTGGATGATATCAACTTCTTTTATTGTTGTTTTAAAGTGAGGTATGTATGGGTCTTATGAAATTTTTACAGAAATATATTGGAGGGCAAATAATTTTATTTTAGTTTTTTATTCCCAAATGATACCCAAAACATGTAAGCTTCACACTATGTTAATTTCTGCAGGATGGGGAAACATTGGACAATGAGTTGGAGGTTGTTGAGGGAATGAAGCTAGACAGGGGTTACATATCCCCTTATTTCATCACCAACCAGAACAATCAGAAATGTGTAAGTTTTAGTTTGACTCAGCGATAACTATGTCTTGAAACTGTTAGAGGGCAGCATCTCAAGTCCCTTTTTGCTTGATGCTGATTATCTTCAAACTTGTGTATGTGCTGATAGGAATTGGGAAAATCCTCTAATCATAATCCATGAGAAGAAAATCTCAAGTATTAATGTTGTGGTTAAAGTTTTGGAGTTGGTTTTGCAGGTTAGCATTTCTCTGGTTAGGTTCACTAGTTTCTTCATTTTTACTATGAATTGGTTGACAAACTTTTGCTCCTTTTCAGAAGCAAAGGTCTTTGCATTTTGTTATATATTTCATAACCAAAGTTATAAAAGAAAATGGTTTTCCTCTTTGTTAATTGAGAATCATCTGCAGTTATGATTTCAGATCTGTAGATAACCTGTTGTTGCTGATATTGCTACACGGGAGGAGAATAGAACAGCTTGGAAAATGTGCAAGAAGGGAGAGCTAACTCATACAACGAAGAACAAATTGTTGAAGTTAAGATCAAATTAGTAGAATTTGTGAGCTCTCCATTATTTATAATTATAGGTAGGAAGTATGTATGTAATAGAGCAAAGATTGGTTGACTATGTAATAACAATTGAATTTTCAAGTTTTATGAAAGAAATAATTTTTACTTCGCAGGATAATATTGTTAGGGTTCAATGGCGATTTATTTTCCATGTCTAAATTGTAGTCTGTAATGGATGTGTGTGTATTGTATGTAGATTGACTTAATATTGCTATCCTATTGCTTGTGTATTATACTAATATTGCCTATGTATTGTATACATATTGCCACCATATTGCATGTATATTGTGATGCTATTGCTGTCGTATTGCCATTATATTGCCATAATATTGCCTCTCTAATGTATGTATATTGGCCTAATATTGCTATTATATTGTATGTATATTGACTACGGCTCATCAATGGGTTTACGGTTTAGGCCATACTTCATTCAAAAAGAAGAAGAGGAGAGAAAGAAACAACGTGCCTTTAAAAAACAGGTAGTCAGGTGCATCATAATTGCACTATAAGACATTGTGAGAAATTATTTAAAAAAATAATAACAACTAAAAAATAATTTACAAAAAAAAAGGAAGCATGAATAAAGAGACAGAGAGCAAGAGAGCGAATAGGGGGAGAAAGAGACAGAACGAAGCTAGAGAGAGAGACAGAGAGAGAAAGAGCTACGCTACAGAAAGAGAGCAAAGAGAGAGAGAGAGAGAGAGAGAGAGAGAGAGGAGACAGAGAGAGACAGAGAGAGACAGAGAGCTGCGATAGACAGATACCAAAGAGAAAGAAAGATGTGCCAGAGAGATTGAGCTGAGTGAGCTAAGAGAGAACAAAATTTCTGAAACATGTGAAAAATCAGCAATAAGTGGACAATAATTATATTTTTATAGGTGATAATTGTAATATATTGCTATCGTATTGTGGTTATATTGCTCTAATATTGCCTCTATAGTGTACATATATTGGCCTAATATTGCTATTATATTGTATGTCAATGGCCATTTGGTCTAATAACAGTCTCCACTTCGTTGAAAGTAATCCTGAATTCAAATCTCATGGGCACGACAATTGTTATCCATTATATTAGCATGAATTGATGTTGACTTTTGAAATGATAGTTGGAGTTGCACATCGATTCATATTCAAAAGGAAAATAATTCTCTCCCTCAATGAATCTTCGTTCAAAAGAAGGCAGCTGTCAAATATTGGGTATAAAAATGCAAGATCCACAGTAAATTAATTGGCCACAAACCACATATTACAAAACCGGGATGATTTTTGGCATGCTTGAAAAGACAAGGGCCAAATACAACAGAAAAGAAAATCCATTCAAGCTTCTCACTAAACATGGCTCAAGCACTCGACCATGGTTTCAATCCAAACCTACCCAACAAGGGCATACCACGTGTCCATCGTAACAGAAGAGTGGCATTTACAAAGCATGAACTGCAATATGTTTCTTTTCTCCTAAACAAAATTGTTACTAAAATGGAACAAAAGGTCCCTAACATAGAACAATACAAGCAAAGATAGTCAATTGTCATACACACAAAATTAGTCCTCATCCATCCCTGCAGGCTGATCTATCTTACTAGGGTCACCTGCTGGTTTTGCCATTATAATCTGCAAGATAGTCAAAGCATTGTCAACAACCTTTTTTAATGAAGGTATTAAATATTAAATAGGCTGCAATAAGATAGATTCATCATTTCTCACACATTTTCAGCTAGCCAGAAAACCCCCAGCATATAGATTTTCTATTTACTATCAAACCTTCTGCACTGAAGCCATATTCATTATAAAAGTTCAACATTTCCCAAAAGTAACTTTCAATTTTATTTTATTTTTCCAAGTTAAAAACTAATTTTGTGACCGTTCTTTTGAGTTATAAAGGAGTTTGTGTTCTGAGTACACACGGGCATACATGCATCTGTGCCAAGTTAGGGGAACGTTGAAAAAAATAAGAGAAAAAGACTTCACAAAAAGTATAAAAGTATAAAATTAAATAAATAAATAAAAAGAATAGTAAACTAATTCATAAAGCCTCGACTTTTTATTATTATTATTATTTTAAATTGTATGTAGTTTAGCATTTTTTCTGCTTTGGCCTCAAAGATGCAATCAGGGATTCAAAGATGTAGTTCATACCAAATTTGGTTCGTCAGGTTTAAGTAGAAGACCTGGATATGAAACTCTTACACTAGGCAGCACTTTACCCTGAGAATGATTTATATTTACTTCGTACCTTGTTAGGGTTGCTTGCCTGCATGCAATATAACCCCAAATATCAAATGTAGTTATAAAGCAGAGAAACAAATTATATAAAACAGGTCACTATTGAATGACATCATTCAAGACATCAGTGAAGCCTTACGTGTAAAGTTTTCCGCCTTATGTGTGCCCACAGTTAGAACAAGCAAGCCAGGAGCATATGATGAAACTAAACTTATACGTATCAAGTCTAAAAGAACAAATAATGTACAATAAGTAGGACGATTTTGCCAAAACAAAGCATATTGGAACCATATCAGCAAAGCAATAAGAATTGTCCAATTTGGAAATCTCCAACTCAATCACCAATGTCATAAATCAATATTAATAACAATTTCACGAATCAAGCACAATCTTGGATACTGCACTTCTGTTTCCCTGACTGGAACATGAGCAGAAAGCTTCTATTATGATCTACAGTAGCATAGGTGTCCTAGAATTCAATATTATTCTTCATTTTGAAAATGCACAAAACTTAACAAGAGTCCGAGACTTCCAATTTACTAGTCACATAAGACTTCCAATCTCACTCTCCTTCTCCCCTTCCCCCTCTCTCCTCTCAGAGCAAGACCAGAACGTAAAATCCAAACAGCCTATCCCACTCCTCTAGTACCTAAAACTAACCACGTAAAATCCAAAGTAGTCATTTATATAACACTCAATATTTTCTTAGTCAAAATCCAAAACTAGTGACACTCTTGAGGTTCATAACACTCCCATTTGACAAGACAACAAGGACCAGAGGAGATCAATAGACTATGTTTCTACACATGCATATAGCAAGTTATTAGTATCAACGCACGTCTTACCCAATTTTAATAGCATGTCATGTCCAGGAAATGCTTCTCCGTTGCTTGTACAGAGGCATGAGACTGTCATTGCCAACTGCAAGGAAAAACATAACTTAAATGAAAACACTATAATTCCAGAGCTAGATACAGGGAAGGCATCAAAAAACTGGTGAACCAAATTAAAAATAATCTGGTTTGTAGTTGAGATGCAGTATAGCAGTCAAGAACAATAAGTATTCTTTCAGTCAGTATTTCAATGCAAGCCTGCGGCCCAAAAATAATCATCACTCCAGTGTGAAATACTATTATTTAAACCGAAGTTACTCTGAATGTACGATACAAAAAAAGTAAATGCACACATTGTTCAGGAAAAAGCTTGAGAAGTTCACCTTTTCAAAAGTAGTTTCCCCCATTCCTGTTTTGTAGAGTTCATACACCATGGCAGTCAAAATATTTTACTCAGCCTGGAAGAAGTTTTCATCACTTGCCAAGAAAAAACAAAGAAAAGAATTAGCATTAATATATCTCTGAAGAAGGTAGAGAGAATTTTTTATTATTTTTTTTTTTTTTTTTCTTCCAATACAACATAGATAAACAAAACTTCCTTTCAACCCAATAACAATTTATGCAGCTAAAGTTGTATGGAGTTGAATGCTACTAGTGCAGAAATTCACTACTTTAAAACCAGCATAAGATAATTTGGGTCCTGAAAGCCATTTTTCACCATGCTACTCCTTTAAAGAATGGCACTTAAAAGATTTAGCAAACTCCAACTGACACCATTTTCATCTTTGTTACTCGACCAAAAAACTATGTAGCTATCTGGATCTCATGTATTTCATATTAGGAATGCATATTAACGTAGTAATCACTGCGTCATATGCCTCACTCAAGGGTATTGATTACCTCTTCTAAGATGTAACATACCATTTAAATAAAAGAAGTTTCACCAACAGAAATCATTTTTCATCATGACTGTAAGATATAATCTGACTCACTTGAATATGAGGTGCCTGGAACATTTCTTGTATGGCTGCTTCAACCTCTGCCATTCCAACAAGTGATTTTCCTGCAAAGTAGGTACATATAAATCCTGTAAGTGACAAGAATTAAAGCCTCAAAGCAAGATAATAACGCTCCTAAACAAAGCAAGCACATAGAGTTTAAGCTACATGAGATGTTGGTGCTTAATAATACCAATGTAGTAACAGAGTATTTCTTTTGAAACTTCAGGATACAGGAAAGAAGAGAAGTTGACAATTCTAATTCCTTGGTTGACCAAAACAGAATACTGGTTTAAAGGTTGCTTAATTTTCATTTTTTCAAATAAAAGAAAATGAAACAAATCCAATACCAAAAACAGAACAAAAAAACAAAACATGTATTATTTGGTATTTAAACCAGCTCTTCTATGACACAAACTCTCATTATGGGACCAGTTGGCCAATGAAAGGCCATGTTTTTTTTCTCTGACAAAAGTAATATTCTAAACTACTCTAATGATGCTTATGTTGCTAGATTGTGAATTTAGATAACACACTAAGACAAGAACCAACATAATAAATGGCCTAAATTCAGAGTCTTGCAACATAAGCATTTTACGCTGCCAGATTGTCTGGCAAGAGAACATTTCTCTACGAAGTATAGTTTAAAGCTTGCTTTGACATAACGCATTCTGGATTTTTCAAGTAATCCTAAAATGTAAACTGTTTCACCATCATAAAACTGAAAACAAAAGCAAAAAAACAAAAGTTACAAACTAGAATCAATATGATGTTAAATAACAAATAAGGTGCAATAAGATAGATTCATCATTTCTCACACATTTTTAGCTAGCCAGAAAACCCCTGGCATATAGATTTTCTATTTACTATCAAGCCTTCTGCAACAAAAGTACATAGATTTTACGGGATGAATATTCAAAGGCATGAAGTTTAGATTCATTAACCTAATTACTTCTGGCAGAAGTTCATAAATGGGATGGATACCCGAAATTTAAAATAAACAAAAAAGCTTCCTACCTGTAATGAGTACATCAAACACAAGGCTTGATTAATTACAATTCCAATGCAGACGACCATTCACAAAAGTTTGAAATTACCCATTATGAAATTAAACATTCGTGAAATATTTTGCATTGTCAGTTTTATCAGATTGAACTACACTTAGTGAAGAAACAATTTTGTTTTAAAGTAAGAAAAACCAAAATCCAAAATTGGCCAAACCAGTAGCAAAATTAAGCTCCATATCCATCCCATCATCACAATTATCACTATGATAAAAATCAAGCATTACCCACCAAACAAAATCAAACCCATCAAACCAGATCAACCAAGATCACAAATAAGAAGGCACAGAAATTGAGCTCACCTGAGCAGCAGAAATCCCAAGCAGAGCTCTCCTAACTCTAGAGTCCATAGCGTCAGAAATCCCCATTTGGATCCTCATCACCTCACCCACCGTCATAACCCGCTTGGGCTTTCCAGGTCCCGACCCAGACCCACCGGACCCAAGACTCTTCTTGGAGCCCGAACCCGGCGATTTGAGACCCAATGCCTTCTTCATCCTGCTGGCAGCTACAAAAGTGAGCGATCTCTGCAACGCCGGCGAGCTATTGGGCGAGTTGGCGTGCTGGGTCGGTGAGTCCAAGTGAGAAGAAGCGGAGCAGACAAGAGATAGCAAAGACAGAGACAGAGAGTTGTGCTACAGAGAGAGAGAGCCAAGAGAGACTGAGAGCTGCGATAGACATATACCAAAGAGAAAGAGAGCTGTGCCAGAGAGAGAGAGAGAGCTGAGTGAGCTAAGAGAGACCAAAATTTATGAACTTGTGATAAATCAGCAATAGGAGGACAATAATTTTATATTGATCGTAAAGTTTTTAAAAATCTCTACGCAACACAATTCCCACAATATTTCCTTCAATTCTTGGACCAACTCTCCGGAGGATTTGGAGATTCCTCCTTGGGTGAATCTCGCCTTGATGGACATCACCTTGGCGGAACTCACCTTCGCGGATTTCACCTCGACGGATCTCATCTTTGCGGAACTCACCTACGCAGAACTCATCTTCGAGGCAACTCTGCGGAACTCATATCTGCGGATTTCACCTCGGCGGATCTCATCTCCACGGAATTTTCCTCGGATCTTATCTCCGCAGAACTCATCTTGGCGGAACTCATCTCTGAGGAATTCTCTTTGGTGGATTGGGATCCGGAGGATTTCGAGATTCCTCCTTAGTAGTTTGGAGGTCTCCGAGCTGGCGGATATGGGAAATTTGACCACCCCAAACAGTTTGGAAGTGGCGAAACCAGAAGTTTTTTAATGATCTTGGAGATTTGCCTATCCATCCTAGGCAAAGAATCATGTCTGCTGTTAAGGATTGGGTAAAAGCCTCACACGTTGCTGCTGTTAGAATGGACAGAGTGCCAATCCTCATTGTTTGGAATCCCTTTGGTTATGATCAATTTGATGGGTCCAGAAAAGTGTCCTCTGGAGATTGGATTGGAGGGTTCTATGTGAATCTGGCCAAGGGTCAGATCTTGGAGGCTGAGATTTGGGGGTTATTGTTTGGGTCTCAAGCGTGCTCTGACTAAAGGTGTAATAACTCGGTTATTTGTTGAGATGGATGTTGTTGTTGTTGTTGTTGTGCAACTCATTCAAAATGTTGAGGGTTTGGGTTGTCATCCTCTTGCCTCTTTGATTTGTTCATGCTGTGTTGTGAACTGTGAAATTCGCCACATTTATAGGGAAGGGAATTGTGTCGCTGACTATTTGGCTAACTGGAGCTGCAACTTTGATTTGGGGGTTTGTTATTTTGATGATGCTCCAGCCTGGATTGGTTCTATTATCTTGGATGACTTGTTAGTGGTGCTAGAACTCGCTTGGTGGGTTCTATGTTTAATTAGCTGTGATGTTTCTGGGGTTTTTGCCCCCCTTCATCATGATAATAAATATAAAAATAAAAACAAAAACAAAGCCGGACCACATATATATATATATATATATATATATATATATATATATATTTGGATACAAACAACAATATGCTTCATCCCATTTTCTAGGGTTTGATGGGGTTAAAAAAAACTAGAAGTAAAATAAGAGCTGTAACACACTCTCATCTCTCTAGTATTATTATTGTGTAAAAAGACAAAAAAGGTCATCCAACTTAATAACTAACCCTAGTATATCTATACACCCCACACCCCACCACTCTTCATATTAAGTTTTAGAAACCTACTTCCAATTTCTTGTTTACAAACTCTCTCTCTCTCTCTCTCTCTCTCAACAATACCCAAGTGTTAGAATTCCAGTTACAGTTCTTGGAGAGAGTTAAAGTTGTTCTCTTTCTCTACAAAGTATTAAATTTCTAATTTTGGGTTTCATTTGTTTGTGTGTTTTTTTTGCTGGTAACAAAGAAAATTGTGGGGTTTAAATAGAAAATTTATTTTAGTTCTTATTTTTTTTCTTCAGTTTGGGGTGTATTTAAGGGTAGTTTGGGAAGAAAGTGGGATTTTCTTAGAAATTGTGAAAATTTAAATTAAAAGTTGGGGTGAACTTAGAACATGGAGTGAACTAAAAGAAGTGTGAGGTTTAAATAGAAAACCTTTTTAATGTTTTGCGCCGCATTCAAATTCTGTAACAATTGGTCAATGTTTTTTAAAAATTGATATACTCAATCGGCCTAATTTTTGCAATGATGTATCTATTAATCGATATGACAAATTACCTATTAATTTGATCGTGTTTTTATTTTACAATATGAGAAGAGGTCACAAGTTATATTTTTACCTTCTCAAAGATCGAAAATGTAAATGGACACAACGTCGTATTTGATGATACTTGACATTTTTTTAGTATGACACACGAGTTTAAACATTTAAACACCAAATTGACAAATGAAACTGAAACAAAATACGAAATAATGGCACAATATCAACACAATTGGTACGATCTTGATTAAGATCACGCATGCAAACGGAAACTCGCTACAAAATCTTCACATCCATGTGTCATCTGTTTGTCATCCATCATCCATGTAAGGAACAAATGAGCAAACTGAGTGCTATGGTTAACTTGATGGTTATCATGACAGACGGGCCAATGTTAGGATGTGTAAGGTTAAAAGATATGAACCTAACTATTATTAATCCAACAATAAAATAATATGAAGAATTGAAGGAAGGTTGATAAACGCCGGAGATTTTATGTCTCGGGGCTCGATTCTCCAATATCTGTTACTTCCCACTTGTTAACACGGCTACGAGCTAATGTTACCTGCAAATATTCATACGAGTTTTAGTTGCTTACTGTAATTAGGCACTTGAGTTTTGCAATGCTGTACAAATTTAGAGTAAAGCAACAAACAAAACCAGTGGAAAGTGCCTTGACTTGCAGATTAGTGGTTCATGTTTGAACTTCCATCCCCCATGGAACATTGACAGTGTGTGTATGTGTGAGAAACCCCCCTCTTCGAATATCTTTGTATCAATAATAATAATAATAATTAAACGTACCTGTTTATCCCAATCAGTTTTGTAGGTCAGTATGAGTAAAACAACAGTTTGGACTAATGTTCCAAACAACATTCCAATCCAAAACACCCTACACAAGAGACTTGATGCAATCAGTTATTTGGAGAAGAAGATCAAACAACTACTATGAGTGAGAAGAAGATTAAAATAGCTCACCTGGACTTGTAGCTTTAGAGGATAACCAAGCACCACCCCAACAGGAATCCCTATAAGGTAATAGGATGCTATGTTCACATATGCCACAGTACTCTGCCATCCAGCTCCGAGAGCAACTCCTGTCGATATAAAATTCGTTATCGGAAAAGGAAATGTTAAGTGATTTCTTTCTTGTTTTTCTTTTGTGTCGTCAAATACTGATAAACGTTTAAATTAACTGAAATTTGACGACATGAAAGGAAATTGATATCCTTCAAATATGAGTGAGAGTATCAGAGAAATAGCAGTAGTACCTGAGAGCACTGGTTGAACACCGTTCAAGAGTATGGAGAATGCCAATAAGGTGACAAGTTGGAAACCATTGTAGCTACCTCTTCATCGTTGGTGAAAATATAGGCAAGACGTTTCCTCAAGAATAGGAAAACCAAGAAAAGCACAAACCCTATAGCAAATGATATCGAAACAATAACCTTAACAGAGAACTTTGCCTTTTTTGCACTACCTCTTCCAAGCTCATTCGACACTCGTACACTAGAACATTTCAACCAAACGTCAGTACAACATCTTATTTTCTGAAGAAAAATGATAATGAGAATAATAAGTACCTTGCTGCAGCCAGGAAACCAAGGGATATCATCATTTCCCACCCAACAATGTTGAGGCTGCAATGTTTACATTGAACACATCAAAATGTAGAGAAAAAAAAATGTAAGTTTTGAAACAGTTGGATGACAACATAAAAATGAAGGCGAAAGGACATATGAAAATGATCATGGGACGGAGGAAGGCTCTGAAAAATTACCAAATCGATAGAGCATCGATAGAGACTTCTGCGTTTTCCATGTTTCCAGTTAAAAGAACCAAGATTGTGTTGTACCAAAGCTCAAGACTGTAAAGGAAAATCAGATTTCTACTTAGAAGCTCCAAATATGTACTACTACTACTATAAGGAGTCATAAGACATTCATCCCAAAACAACCATATCAATATCATTCTTCTGAATATCTACTACTTGGAGTCCTGAGGTACCAGTTTTTTTAATATTTTCAAATAGAAGTATATATTAAACAAAAGTTAATTTTCTGGGCTATATAGACATGTACATTATGTTGATTGCCTGTATGTGACAGTTCCAGATTAATATTGCCTCCATCCAGATTTTCTCAAACAAGCGAAATCAGTAGCATCCTAACAAATTACGCATGCATGTAAAGAAAGATAAACTAAGGAACGACAGAAAAACACGAAAAGTAAAACTAACAATATGGTCTTACCAAAGCATAACACCGGATGACAGAGACAGCTTGAGGACCTCCCAGAGATTTGTAAAAGCTAAGGTTGAGAAGCCTGTCCATGTTTCCGGGCATCCTCCACATAGAACAAACAACAGCTGACCAACGTTGGGTAGCCAATATGCTATAATAGTCGACACCATTACACCGGCAACCCCCCACTTAAATTTGACAGTAAAAAGCCATGAAAGGAGGATGTGGATTGCAATTGAAATTGCCGACACATAAGCAATGATCATATTTTTGCTCTGTGCTTGTAAGTACATTTGGCAGGTAAAGGATACAACAAAAGCAAAAAGCACAGGGATCACCCATAGAGAAATATATCCTGCCTCTTCTGAAATATTATCTTTTTGGCCTAATGCCTCTAAAATCGGGGTTGTAAAGATGCAAAGAGGAATGAGGAGCACTGTGCTAATAAACAGAACTACCCATGACCGCTGAAGATGTATTCCAAGCATGTGGTACTGTTTCGCACCGTATGATTGACCACAAAGAGTTTCTAGCGCACTAGCCATGCCCAGCTGCAGAATAACAGATTCAGAAACATCCCTCAGATTACTGGTCTTCAAACCTTGATTATTGCCTTATATTAGCAACCTTTTTTTATATGTTCCTACTTCCTACATATATATATGCATATTGCCTAGCTTTAAAATTTTCAACTAAAAGCTTGGATCTGCAACTATATTCTTACCCATCTAATCAAGTTTATATCCGAACGTCTTTCAAATTCACTGTGGAGTTCAGATTGTTAAAATTACCCATCTAATCAAGTTTATGCTGGGTTGCTGTTGTCTTGGTGATGAATGCATGTGCAAATAAGAAGATTGTAGGGAGCCAAAATTAAACTAAACATACCAAGATCCCATTTGCGAACCTGATGAGTACGGTGAATACAAGCGAAAATGCAGCTAGTTGTGTAGAGCCAATGTGACCAATGAAGGCTTGACTGATGACATTTATTCCAAATGTGGAAACTCTGGTGAAGATAGCAGGGCCAGCCACCACCCACATCGTCTTGGTTTCCCTCCATACCCTGGTTTTGAGTGGCAAATTCTCATCCTCCTCCTTATCCTCAACACCATTTTCTTGTACACTCTTCTCTTTTGTCAAAAGAGTCTGGTTAATACTGTCTTCTTCCATGTGACCAAGTGTCTTTTAGTTACTTCTTTTTAACCTGCCAAGTGCCAAATATAGAAAAGATTGGAAATTACTCTAATGGGCAAAGAAAACTGCACTAATTCCAAATCATTCTGTTGTATCCATTAAAATCATTCATAAAACAAATTTTATATTTTTTTTGTTCACTGAAAGACAAAGCTTATTAGGTGGCGCTTTGTTTTTTGCAGCTCTGTTTTTGTTTTCTCAGTTCTTCTGACTGAGACCCTTTGGCCAAAAAAATATTTTTATATAACCTGCAAAGTCATATGTAATCAAGGGATGCACAGTGCACCTCCCAACACATCACAATTTTAAAACATCCAAATGATTATTTAATTAACTTGTTACCACACTAACAGTATTATAACAAATCTAAAATTATATAATATACATATAATATGTACTAAAACTTTTAAAACATCCAAATGATTATTTAATTAACTTGTTACCACACTAACAGTATTATAACAAATCTAAAATTATATAATATACATATAATATGTACTAAAACTTTAGACAATAATATCAAAACTTTGCAGCACGAGATACAAAACTTGATGGAAACTTAAGGAGCTAAGAACATAAAAGTTCTCTCTCACTCTCATATGTATACAGATTACAGAACAGAGGTAGATAGAATGAAAGAGAGAATAGACTCACAGGAGTTTATTACCCAAGTGGCCTCCTCCTCTCAGGCGACAGATGCGTTCAAAAGTCCTAAGATAGAGTTTTATAGTTTCAGTGGTCTCTTCAGGGACCAGACACCCAATTTATGTTGGAAGTTATATTGCTCGCTAGGGCAGAGAGAGAGAGAGAGAGAGAGAGAGAGTAGAGAGTGGAGGAGATGCAACCAAATCATCAGAGTAGGTTGACTGGTAACCATCACCTACCCTTCGTTCACTCTTTTCCTTTTAGAAAGGGTAAACTGGCGAATACCCTTGAACTATCAGCTTGTCAAAATCTCTACCTTCAATTAATTTTTCAGTCATTTTAACTATCATATTGAATTTATTCACCAATTTCACCCGTGTCATTGGTTTTTCACAATTTCATCCAAATTATGTTGGTTTTTTTCTTTTCTTTTTCCGTTACAATAATTGGGAGTTATTGCTCGCTTGGGCAGAGTGAGAGTGAAAGTGTGTGAGAGAGAGAGAGAGAGAGAGAGAGAGAGTAGAGAGTGTGGAGGAGATGCAACCAAATCATCGGAGAGTAGAGAGTGGAGGAAATGCAACCAAATCATCGGAGAGTAGGTTGACTGGTAAGTAAAGTAATAACTGTCAGCTACTCAGCTACCCTGGGTTCACTTTTGTCCTTTTAGAAATACAAAAGTAGTATGAAAAAGTATATGGAACAGAAAAGGCAGCTCTCTATTTCCTAGCTGGTTGGCATTGTTCTGACCAAAAAAAAAGAAGAAGAAAGAGTTAGTGGTTGGCATTGCACGGGATGGCCCTGAAAATATTACCATGTCTAGATTCAGTCACTTCTTCTTTTTTTTTCTTTTTTTGGGTTAAATAAATAATAAATAATAAATAATAAATAATAAATAAAAAAGTTTATTGTACAACTCCAAACTCCTCATTTAATTGATTCAAACAAAAATCTCTTCGGAGATCCACTAGTTAATTGTATACTCCTTTTGTGGTATTGTGATAAAATGTTTATATACTTCTTTAAAAAAAACATGTTGAGCGATCTCTCTCTATATCAGGGACACTTTGTGAGCCGACTATGCAATGTATTTCAAGTATTCGAATTGTTTATAGGTATTCTTCAAGGATTATCTTTGCAAAATATCACTTAAATTCGAAATCATTTGATCACTCCATTAATTGTTGTCATTTTAGTGTTTTCTTAAAGCATTGTATTCATCTATTTTGTTGATCACAACTAGATGTATTACTGGTTTTTAATTTGTCTAATTTTATGTAAAAACAATCTATAAATTAAGACTTGAAAAATGGACGGTTTAAATGTTGAAAAACAAAATCATATAAAATTATTTTATAAAATTTCATTGCACTTTGCAGTCAAAGATGAAAGTCAATGTTAATGCTATTAAAGGAAGTTATTAAAGTTGTTTAAAGTCAAATATCAAAATCAATCTTCTAATGCTATTAAAGAAATTATAAAATACACTCATTGTAGTTTGTTAAGCTGATGTGTCAGCTAAAGTATAAAATACACTCATTGTGTCCTTTTAAATGGAAAATCAGATTGTGAGAATCTTTGTTCTCAATCAACTCCAATTGTTACAGCAAATGAATCTCATCAAAGCCCCTTGATTTCATCTCAAAATTCCTGCTTCTTTATTTGTTTCCCAATCCTCTACTTTTCCTGTTTCTTCTTCTTCTATCGCTATCTCTCGTTCCTCAACCACAACCTACCTAACCTTCTTGTTTTCCACCTCTACTAGCTGTTCCAAGTCGGGCATTTTTCTACAACTAAATACCCTCTGAGTTTGTACATCAGGTTTAGTTCCTCCACAACCACCAACAAATAAAAATTCCAATTGATATTTTGAGTGCACTAAAGCACTAAACATTCAAGCACATCCAAATGAGTACTCAAGGCAGCACGTGCTCATATCCTAACACACAAACAAATGTGTTAACAGTAATATGATGATTCCATCAAACCGGTATCATTTTCCCGGTAAAAAGATAAAATTAACAGTAATATGCTACCAGAAACAATCACGCCCAACAAAATTTACTAGCATACTGATTGAACTACAAATGAACTTACTATTGCTGATACAAAACTGAAACTAGACTGAGTATCTGGTCTTTAAGCTGACTCTGTTTCTGTGCTGCCCTCCTTGGTGGTTTCACTGGCATCCTGTTCTTCAGAAGGAGGAACTTGCTGCTCTGGCTTGGCAGGCCCTGGACCAGCTGATACCTTTACCATCGACGGACGCAAAAGCCTGTCACCAAGCTTAAACCCCTTGCGAAATTCATCGATTATAACACCTTCTTCAAATTCCGTGGAGTCCTCACGCATGATTGCTTCATGCAACTTGTATAAGAAAATTGCAAATTCAAGTTTCAGTATTAGGAATTGCACAAATTGTTTATGTCCTAAAAGATATAACGAGTGCATACCAAGTGTCATGTCAGACAAATTTTCATAAGATTTAACCATTTAATAACCTAAATGCTATAATTAGGTGTTCATCCTACTATTGCAAAAGAGGAGACATGTAGTTTTCACTATCATGAACTCACCAAATTGGCTCGATTCAATCATGATTTGGTCTGACTTAAAACCGTATCCAGGTCTTCATCAAACCTGAACAAAATTGACTAAGTACTTGATAATATTCATCAAGTAATTGATTGAATTTCGAGCCAACTTGGTATCTTACCTGCATAAAGCAAATCATAAGATAGAAGTCATTTGTCAACTAACAAAATGGCAAAATTCTGCACATGTAGTTATTGGCCATCAAGACAGACTCTGTTTGATGCGGACATCATTAGTTAGTTTCCTAGATTCTCCAGTTTTCCAGATTTCACTAGGATTTAGTAGCATGTTATTTTAGTTTCCTAGATTATTTGAATTAGTTCCTTGGTAGATTAGGATTTCTGTTTTAGTAAGGGATTTTTATCCTATTGTCTCTATGTTTTAGTTTGCCATAAATACCCCCATGTGGTTCTTTAAAATTCAGTTGTTGAGATATTAAGACAAGTTTATTTTCCAGAGATAGGAGACTCCTTGGTGTGAAGCCAAACCCCTGGAGTGATTTCAGACCTATCCTTGTTCGTTCTATTTTCTGTTTTCCATTGTTTTCGCTTCTGCTAAACTACCTAAATTTACAATTCACCCATATCCCACATCAAATTTGGCATCGGAGCCATATCCTACATCAAATTTGGCATCAGAGCCATATCCTACATCAAATTTAGCATCAGAGCCAGGTTCTCGTTTTTCCTCGGGTTCAAAATCTTAGTTTTCTTGTTGTTTACATCGTGTGTCAAGTTAAGGCTCCAACTAAAGACTGGTAAGACAGACCAGCCAGTGATGGACCTTGAACGGATTGCTCAGATGATGGAAAATATGACAAAGCAGATGATGGCAGAACTGACCACTGTCATCAAAGAGCAGTCCACCAGATTGGAACTTTTTTATTGTCGTTTTACAGACTTTGAAGGATGATTTGGAGCCATTGATCGTTGCAGACATAGGGGCAGCTAATCAACATGACGAAGCAAGTGTGAATGGAGAAGAGAGGAATCATGATCGACAACATCGTGACAGAATGAATGACCAAGACCCAGAGAGACATAATGATAGGAGTATAATCGAGACGACGAAAGGCAAAATTTTCATCGTGGCCATGAGCAAGACCCTGATGAAAAGGTGATGAGATCAGTGAAAGTTGACGCTCCTAATTTTGATGGTGAGCTAAATCCTAAAGCATTCCTCGACTGGTTAGCTATCATGGATCGCTATTTTGTGTGGCATGATATGTCTGAAGCTCAAAGGGTGAGATTTGCTAAGATAAAATTGGTGGGTCAAGCTGGATTATTTTGGACCAATGTTGAAACACAACTAGAGAGAGCTGGTGAAGAACCAATCATCCATTGGGTTGAGATGAATGAAAGGTTGGAGCAGAAATATGTAACATTATCACATCAACAATGTTTGTTGGACGAGTGGCAAACTCTTCCTCAAGACAACATGTTAGTGGCTGAATATATTGCAAAATTTGAGGAATTCATGTTGCGATGTGACATAAGGGAAGATCAAAGGATGACTTTCTCGGTTTAGATCAGGTCTTTGTCCAGAGCTTCAAAGAGAATTAACTCGTCATAACGTGAATACTTTAGAGAGGGTTTTTCAGATGGTACAAGAATTAGATAAGTATTTAAAGTTGTCCAATGTAGTCCAGCAAACTGATTCTCAAAGATCTGATTTTCATGTTCGCACATCTGTGACTCCAAGTTCTAAGACTCCAACATCTACGACTAATTTAGTAAAAACTGCCAAAGGAAAAGGAGTGCTAGTTGATACACGTGGTGGTTGAACACAAAGATGTTACAGATGCCAAAGTTTTGGACACTTTGCTCTCCAATGCCCAACGAAGGAGGCAACAAGAAATCTGTGTGCACGCATTAACGAACCAACTGACAATCAAGGCGAATTCGAGGAAGATATTTATGAACCCCAACAACCTGATGAAGATTGTGGAATCGATTTTGAAGTCCCTCATCCAACATTAGCAGTAGTAAAGTGTACTTTGGCTTAACCTAGGAAGGAAACTAAGGATTGGCTTAGGACTTCAATTTTCCACACTTACATCAGTCTGGAGATAAAGATTGGAAGGTATCATAGATAATGGGAGTTGTATCAATGTGGTGTCAACGCTAACTATTTCGCGTCTTGGTTTGTCACCTGAGAAGCATCTTGTGCCATACAGAGTAGCATGGATTGCCAATATATCTTCTATCCCTATTAGCCAACGTGTCACATTCCTATACAGTTTTCATCTAACAAAGATCATGTTTGGTGTGATGTGGTGAGTCATATTCTCTTCATCTACGATCACAATGTTACCATCTTGGGTCAAGAAATATATGTTCATTCATCCATAAAGGAAAGAAGATCACGATGAAGCCACTTCAACCCAAGCTCGTGAATCAATCTATACGAAACAAGAGAGGAGCAAGACAAAGTAGGTAAAGCCAAAGCTCTACATATCATTACGCTTGAAGAATCAAGTGGAAGTTAAACCTACTCGGATTACAAAGGAGGACGTCGCACATTGATCCTGACATTTTGGAGTGTTATTACAACTTTATCTCACCGGAGTCAACATCTTTTCAGCCAGGGGGGATTGATGCGGACATCATTAGTTAGTTTCCTAGATTCTCTAGTTTTCCAGATTTCACTAGGATGTTAGTTTCCAGATTTTAGTAGGATTTTATTTTAGTTTCCTAGTTTACTTGAATTAGTTCCTTGGTGGATTAGGATTTCTTTTTTAGTAAGGGATTTTTATCCTATTGTCTCTAGGTTTTAGTTTGCTATAAATAACCCCCATGTAGTTCTTTAAAATTCAGTTGTTGAGATATTAAGAAAAGTTTATTTTCCACAGATTGGAGACTCCTTGGTGTGAAGCCAAACCCCTGGAGTGATTCCCGACCTATCCTTGTTCGTTCTATTTTCTGTTTTCCATTGTTTTCGCTTCCGCTAAACTACCAAAATTTACAATTCACCCATATCCTATATCAGTATTGATCAGGGTAATTGGTGCACCCCTCCAGTAAAAGGATAAAATTTGGGGTTATGGTTATTGATAGTATAATTCTGTTGTCTTCTCTTATACACCTACTTGTAACTAAAATTAACTCCTCATTATAAACTAAGCAGACAAATGAAAATGTCCAACACTAGATGTCAGGAAGGGCGCCATTTCTATGCTAACAAGTATTCACCTATGCATGACCAAAAGGGTTGAATGACTTACCAACGGATCAAAGGGCTTCCCCACTGTCTCAACAGGGACAACACCGAGAGAGCTTAAGATTTCTCCGAACTGTTTATAAATGCTCTGATAGCTATTGTTGATCTTCTCCTCTCCTTCTGTCTCCACCTTAATCTGGGTTTTAGCCCTCTCAAAATTATCTACTACGGGCAACAAACTCTCCACAACTTCCCCCTGAGCATTTGTTACCAGAGAAATACGTTCCCTATCAGTCCTTTTACGGAAATTTTCAAAATCTGCACTTATCCTCAGAATCCGAACCTTCTCTGCTGACAGTTCTTCAGACAAAGAGGCCACTTTCTTTTCAAGACTTATTTTCTCATCTTCAATATATTTGAGGAAAGATTCTATCTCAGCTACTTTTGATTCATCGTTACTGGCCAAAGCTTCTTTGTATAATTGCAGTGATGCTATGATGGCTGAAACAGGTTTTTCCTCAGCATCACCTTCATCATCATTACTTGTACCACTTTCTTCATCGTCGCTTGTACTATCTTCCACACTTACTGCACCATCTGAAGAGTCCTGTTATATAGTAATTAGAAAAAGTAAGAAAAGTAGGGAACCGAAAAACAACAATTTTTGTTATTTTTGAAGTGTGGATAAAGAAATCATTTTATACAAAACATTTTCCATTTATATAATTGGAAAACATAAGTAAGATGCCGGGAACCTCAGAACGAATGTTTCTTCTTTTAAAAGAACACACACACACTAACTATACATATATGTAAAATAACAATCTAACAAGTTAACAATTTCTTTTAAATGACACTAGAATCTCTATGGCAACATGACTCACCATCCCTGCCCTGGTCTGAAACAATTAAAGAGTTTGAACATAAAACATAAAGATATTATAATCCTAATATCATGTAGATGACATGCTCTGATTCCCAACAAGATATGCAAAACTCAATAGTGGAAAGAGAAAATAAATGTCGTTGGGTCTTCAAAGTTTATGAGTATAAGAGTCTACATCAATTACGCATTGAACTAAGCAAACATCAGCCAATTCTTCTTTCTTTTTTCTAATCCGTCACACAGACCTGAAGGCTAAACAGTTCTGAAGTAACGAGTTTAAGTAAAATCTACAAAAGGAAACTGAATTAAAAATAACAGGCAATGACGATTAACTATATTAGAAAAAGGTGACACCAATCCAGGTCAGTTAATCAGTTTGTAATTACATGGTTCCTATATTGAATTAAAATTATTAAAAGAGGAAAGAAACAAACCATCAACTGAACATTATCTGAAAAAAAAACATAAATAAGAGAGAACTCTGTGCAAACAAAGTTGAATAAGAAAAAAATTTACGTACATAAAAAAATATTTCACAATCATAAACAAACTGAAATCAATCTCAATATTTCAATATCTCTGTATTTAAGAATTGGAGTAATTTTTAAAAACATGGTAAAGAAACAAATAGACCACAAAAGAGCAGCTTAGACATAGCGATTTTACAAAAACCTCTTTCTCATTCTTAAAAATAATGCTAACCTCCTTTTGGTGCAGTGAATTTGATAAAAATTAAACATTTTTTCATCATCATCTTCATTACAGTTTCTAAGTCTCGTAAATTTGTAACTAAGCTCAAATATCATATAAATCAAATACTTAGTATTGTTGTTATCACCATCTAGAAAGAAAGAGAAAAATAAGTCATTCTGCCTAGTTTCTTAAAAGGTGGAGGCAAAGGTAAGAGAGGAACGTTAATGTTTTGCAAAGCTTTATTCTTAATAGGAGCGACATAAACGCCTTGCGCTATGTCTTCACCACTGGAAAAAAATGATTCTATCTTCAAATTGAAACTGAAACCTATCTTAAAATGGAAACCAGACCACTACCAATAAGAATTATATGGATTTCTAATGTAATATGGAAGTTCTGTGTAGATACTTCCTTCTTTTTCAAAAGAGAGGGAGGTTTGTTTCAAGCTTTTACATGGTGTTAGAAAAAGTGTTAATTAAAGTACCTCAAACGCAGGCAGGAGGGATTTGATTTATTCATGAACATGATGCTAATGGGACATTTCATAATCCTACCAATAAACCCAAGAAAAATAAAGTAATCTTACGCTTGGTTTCTACTTTTTTTTAGAAAATCAATTTCTCAATCAACAACCAAACCACCTTACAAACTCTAAACCTAAAATTCTGGTTCATCTCTAATCGTTTCTGGAATTTAAGGAAAAAAAATCTAAAAACTTAAAGAAAAATTAATAAAACAAATAAATAATACCTCGATCTCTTCGGGCTGTCGAACCTCCTCCACGGTCTCAGTAGTTTCGGTTTCTCCTTGGGAAGCCAAAGGAGCGAACTTGGCGAACCGGAGGGACGGCAAGTGAGAGAACCGGAGAGAGCTTAGAGTGAGATAAGGTATGCTGCCGCTCTGGCTTTGTCTAAACGAAACATATGAAGGTTTTGGGGAGTTTGGCGAGAGAGTGGAAGGAAGTTGTGCAAAAGTTGCCCCTAAAGGAGAAGTTCGGAGGACATTGGCCATTGGAGACAGAGTTTCAGAGACTTGAGAGGAGAGGGGGGGGAGAGAGGAGGGGAGAGGGATAAGGGTGGCGATATTGAAAAGGGGAGTAAATTAAGGATGCTGAGTCGAGTTTAGTGTGGGTGGGTGAAGGGAAATGAAAAGGGTCTAATTTTAATTCAAACCGTCGGATCCGGTTCTGGCTGTCTCATCCTACGTTTGTATTATTGGGTCTTTTTGGTACACGAAGCGTCCGGAACTTTCATTCATTTCCCTTCTCCCGCTCGGATTAGGTGACAACAGTTATGTGAGAATTTTATATGAGAATCAATCTTAGCCGTTGAAATACATCTGAATGGTTTAGGAGAAAAAACAAGCTTACAATAAAAACGGATAGGCTGTAGTTTCTTCTGAGCTCATGTGTCAAGTCGCGCCTCTCTTTTGAGAAAAAAAAATGCTACTTTGTTCTTCATTAATTTTCTTCTTCTTAATTAATTTATGAATAAACCCTAATCAAAACACCTAAAATTTCACCTACCATACATAAATTTGTGTATTCCTCTTCTCTTGTCGCAGAAACTCCCTCATCTAGTCTTTCTCTTTCACTTCCTCGGAACCTCCCTCATCTAATCTTTCTCTTTCACTTCCTCTTCTCTTGTCACAGAACCTCCCTCATCTAGTGTTTCTATTTCCCAGCCATCCAAAGTCATTTGAACATCTGAAGAGAAAAAGCAAGCTTACAATACAAACGGGTACGCTGCACTTTCCCCTTAGGTCACATGTCCTACCTCGCCTTTTCCAATCCCGCCTCTGAATTCATTTTCGTCTGACTCCCTCTTGTTCATCTAAAAAAGATTCTCTTCTCTCAATACACTCTCCTATTTTTTTGTTTAGAATCGGTACGTTTCTCTCGAATTCTCTCTCTCTTTCATATTAAGGTTTGCATTTTATATTGAATTCACTTAATGTTTAATTTTTGTTTAGGATTTTAGGGTTTTGATTTTCTAGGTAAGAGTACTCTTTCTCGGTAGTAGTTGTGTTTACAAAAATATAAATTGGCTTCAGTTGCTTCATGTGTTGTGTTTTCTAGTTTTTAGTAATTTGTAGAAGCATAGTAACTTTTTTTAAAAGTTTTGGTGCAGTTTAAATATTCTTTCCTCTTTCCAAAATTCGGGTTTTTTTTTGCTATTGTTTGTGGTAATTTGTTGAAGTGTAGATTCACAACTGTTGCTTCTTCCTAGTTAATCTGCATCATAGATCCTTCAAGATTTGTAGCTGCTACTTTGCTTATTCTACTTGTTGGAACCTTTATCTGTTTGCTTTGACACTCATTGTAATCCTTCTTTGCCCATCTAGTGGTTTGAGTGTAAGGCATCATTTTAGTGATTTAATGGGGCTTGGAAAACAAATAATAAGTACCATTAGAAGTAGAACATAGAAGAGAAAATTGAAGATCTTAACTGTGAATATGAGATGATTTGGGATGCATAAGGATCATGCATCTTGTAGTAGGTATCAATTTTGTATCTTAATGTGTTGAAAATAGTGTTGGTAGGTATCAGTTATGTATCTTGATATGTTGAAAATAGTGTTTGTAGGTGAAAATTATTTATCTTAATGTGTTGAACATAGTGTATTAGTCTTGTATCTTAATGTGTTAAAAATAGTGTTTGTAGGTGAAAATAGTGTATCAATGTGTTGAAAATAGTGTATCAGTTCTGTATCTTAATGTTTTGAAAATAGTGTTAGTATGTATGGATTATGTATCTTAATGTGTTGAAAATAGTGTTTCTATGTATTAATTATGTATATTAATGTGTTGATAATATTGTGAGTAGGTGTCACTTCTGTATCTTATTGTGTTCATAATATTGTGAGCATGTATCACTTCTCTTTCTTAATCAAAAGGTGTCTATTGGAATATGGGTTTGAGGTCTATTCTGCACGGGTGAATAATATATGACTGGCGAGTACAGTTCTGTGTAATTTTAGGGCGTATTTCAGTGACTCGCGCTTATGAAAAGTTTTAGACAGAGCTGTTTTAGGCACCTAGTGGGCCTCCATAAAATTGCATTTAGTGGTCAAATTGTGCATGCTTTGGCACTCCGGCAAGTCGGAGGACTTGGTGTGAAGGACATTCTGGGCCTTAGTTATGCAATAGGGTCCAGCGTGGTTCAATTCATTGTAAAGGACTTGTGTTTGATAAGTTGTCTAAAATGTGGAATAGAGCCTTACATAACTTCCGCGGGGGATGCTCATAATCTATTTATGATGCGCATTTTACTAACAGGAGTCACATTACTTGCTATGACTTAGAAAATGCATTCCTAAAATTCAAGGACTCATTCAAATTGAGACTGCTGTATTTTGTGGAGTTTGTGATAATGAGTAAACCCCAAAATGAAAAGATAAACGAGGACTACTTACATTTGGTTCATAAATGGATGAATTCAACAAATATCCGTAGGGCTTTATATCGTTTGAGTATCTGCAAGATTCTTTGTCATTTGCTCCTGGGAAGAAAGAGAGTGATGAAAACAATGATGGGAAGGGTAATGACAAAGAAAATGGAAAAAAGGCAGTGCAGAGTTCAGTGAAAAAAGGGAGAAAAACGTGGAGGATGAGAAGCGTAAAAGAATTAATAGACCTGCATAGAATATAAAGGGATTGAGCTATGCTTTCCAGGTATGATTTAGTTCAAAATTAGAGTTTGTAAAATTTAGGACAAACTACATAAAACCCCCTAAACTATAGGGTCATTTTCAAGTTTATACCCAATTTTAGAGACATTTATGAGTACATACTCAAACTCCCAGAAACCCTACAAATTGCCCCTTTCGTTAGCCAAACTAATAGTGAGTCTGTTAAATGCTGACATGTCGAAAGTGGGACCCATTTTTTGATGGCATGGACTTCCACGTGGACCAAAAATTAATAAAAAATAATTTTATTGTTTAAATTATTGAAAAATATATATCTCTCTCTCTCTCATCGAAAAATTATTTTTTGGGTTCATTGCAGGCTAGGATGGTTTTGGGTTCTGAGAGAGAGAGAGATTTTAAAATAATTTAAACAGTAAAATAATTTTTTATTAATTTTTGGTCCATGTGGAAGTCCACATCATCGAAAAATGGGTCTCACTTTTGACACGCCAACATTTAACAGACTCACTAACGATTTAGGTAATAGAAAGGGGCAATTTGTAGGGTTTCTGGGAGTTTGAGTATGTACTCATAAATGTCTCTAAAATTGGGTATGAACTTGAAAATGACCTTATAGGTTAGGGGATTTTATGTAGTTTGACCTAAAATTTAAGTTCATAATTAAGTACTGACTTTGATAATTTATTTGGTGCAGATTTGGGCGTATGAATTAATTGCTGAATTAGGAATTCCCCCCTTAGATATTGTAAGCAGATCGAGGAACCTACATTAGTCCTTCAAATTTGCTGGTGAGAATCCACAGATAAAGTGTCTGAGTTTAGAAAGCTGAACGCTTACATATTTCAAAGCAAACATGTGTGTATTTAATAATTTATTTCAATAGTATGTTGGTTTCATGAGTAAATGACTTGTTAACTCTATATTTTTGACAGCCTATTAGTTGGTGATCAGATGTTCCTGAATGTGATGCACCTAGTGTAGCTCCACGGGTACGTAAGGACCTTGATGAGTTAAACTCTGCTGTGCAGTAGTTGAGGAATGAGGTTGCAGTATTGCACTGTGAGAAGGGTGAGCAAGATGAGAGAGTTTTATGCTTGTAAAAGTGTACCAGTCATGCAGACGCGAGGAAGACTGAGTATGCTGGAGAGGAGAGTCATAAAATAGAGAATGGTGGAGTAGCCAAATCCAGAGAGTAATCTGTACAAAATGAGAAATAAGAGGTGCAATATACACCCTTGAATATAAATTGGGATGATCCAGCTGTGGTGTGTGTCACCCTTATTAAATTTCTTACAAATCCTCCACAAAAGATTGAGATGTCCATTGTGGAGGGTTATTGTGGTGAAGATGTTATAGTTGGGATCCAGTAAAAGAGGGGTCGAGGAAAAAGTGAGACTCTTGGGTCTGTAACAAAGAGGCAAAGGGCAATGGTAAAGGAAACTCCATGTCAAGGTCGGGAGATTCCCAATATTTCGGAGGACACAATTGGTGACCCCCTAAGGCCAGTTCCTCTTGATTCCCTTCTGGAGGTGGTGAAAAGTAAGTTCCCTTTGCCTGTCCTTATTGAAATGTAAATGATTTATTATGATTACTTATTGAGTTATTGGTGAAATGGATTTGATAATAATAATGATTGAAAAATATAGTTCACATGTGCGCTTATGTGGAGAAGAATGTATGGAAGGTTCGCATAACTTCTTTGTTTGATTACTGACCAAGGACACTTATCAAAATTCCCATGCTGTGTAGTAATTTAATGTAGAACATTGACATGGCCTTACTTTTACTACGGAAGCGGCACAACAGCTCTGGTAAGTGGGTGGATTCTAACTGGACGATACTGGAAACCACTTTTCAGGTCTATATTATTTCATAATTATGCATTGTTATTTGGTAAATTTGGTATCTATTATGATGCATAACTCGTGTACCACAATTCAGAAATGTGATGGCTTAGATTACATGCAAATCAAGGCGTCTATGGGAAAGGAGGACAATAAGCACATCAAGGGTCTACTAGGAATGGTCAAGGGCGAAGGGCTTAAGTTGGCTAAATCTTGATCATCTATGAATCACATTTTTATGTCATTCATCCTACAAAGGCAAAAGCACTGGATCTTACTTGTTGTCGATTTAAAAGAGTGTGAGATAAGGGCATATGATTAGAAAACACATCTATGTAGAACCCAAGCCATCCAACGTGTAGTGCAGTTGGTTGCGAAAATGTTGCTCCGGTTGTTAGAAGAAGCGGGATATATTAGTGATGGTCTTATTCATAAAAGTAAGTGGCCAGTTAATCACGTAATGGATGCACCCCAACAAGTTGGCGGGTGAGTCATATTCCACCTAAACACATTGTCTTGTTAAATGAATTTGTTGTACAATGAATCACAGCTTCTTCGCTATATTTCAGGGGCGACTGTGGGATGTACATCCTGAAATACTACGAGTTTCTAACCTCAAATGTTGACCTAGCCAAAATTTCCCATGACCTCATGTCCTTCTTTCAGTTGAAGCTTGCTTTACAGTTGTTGCAGGGATATTGGTAGCTGTATGAGTGTACTACAGACAATATGAACTTGCAAAGTTTTTAACTGGGTGGGTGTACTATATGAATTTGCAAAGTTTTAACTAGGTGGGTGGTTTGTAATTATGTAGGTAATAGCTGTTGAATTGAAAAGGGTTTTCTATTCTGTTCAAATACAAGCTGTATGAAACCCTTAACACCTATTTTTGATACTATACTAAACCCTAAACCCTAAACAGTGCATGAAAAGAAATATGTTTACATGAAATGGATAAAGGCAAAACGCATAAACAAAGTGGAATAAATACGAATGTATCTTGTTTAGGGCAAACACGATTTTGAAGTTAAGATGCAAACATATGAAATGTTGAAAAATTAAGAGTACCATACACAGCTAACTGGGTTACAAATAATAAACTTTCAGTGCTAAATTCATATTTGTAGATTGCCAAACACTTTTTAATTTCTCATAACTGTCCAGATTACAAAATTAAAAGACATACTTGAAAAGCCAAAAGATTTCCACAGAGGCAAAGCATTTCTTACTTTTTCATCAATTTAACTGCCAAATTCAAAAATGATAGAACTAACAATAGTACGAGGATATTTTTAATGCCCTTCACTATACGGATTACTTCAGCATATGCATTAAGTTCCCTCACATCCAGCTAGTTTTAAATGTGAGATTCAGTTGCCCTGTTGGTTGCAATCACCCATTCATAGCCACTACACCTTGTAACTCCCTAAAAAAACATAAAAAATTACATTTTTCAGTTATGGATTACAATGTAAGAGCATATTCTTTTAGTATGGAGCACTTTTCATTGTCTTAGGCAATGCCCGATCTAAGTTAGTGTTAATTCCTGATATGGGTTAGTGTTTTACATGTTAATGACCGATCTCGATTATTGTTGATACATATAGCTTATTACGTTTTAGATACGAGTTTTGGGAAGATAATACTTATATATGTTATGAAGCACTTCCAATACGGTCTGCCCATTTCCAGGAATTTTTAAAATTTTAACCCTAATCCATGAGCTGGAAAGAAGAGCATTACTATGGGGAATTTTTTTATATTTTCTTTTACCCTAAACCCTCCATAGTAAACCCCACACTCTAAACCCCAGGCGCCCAACCCCTAAACCCTTAAAGTCGATTTTTAAATGAATATTTAAGTGAAAAGGAATTTAAAAAAAAAAGGGTTAGATGGAGTGTGGCAGCATGAGAATGCGCCGCGTGTCGCGGAAGTTTGCAACTCCACACTCCAATGATGACACTTGGCATTTCCTGAATACTTTATTCTTTCTTTTTTGCAAAATTCATCAAAATTGCAGGAAAAATCTGAAAAATATGGGGAAAATTCCTACATATCTATGGGAAAGAATACTTCGTAAGGAAAGTACAATACCGGGTTTTGGAGTGACTGAAAAATAAAATTAGGGAGCCAACCCTAGACGTGGATGATGCAAACGGAAACAGTACAGTAGTACGCTTTGTAAACCTTACGCTCTTATTTGTTCAATCACATTAATCTCATCTCCAAATTTGTATACCGCGGCCTTTTTCTGGATATTTCATCAAAGGAAATCTCATCACGATTTGGGAGGAATTTTTCTCGAATTTTTCCCCCTTAAATTCAAATTTAAATGAATATTTATGTGAAAATGAATAAAAATTTGGGTCAAATGCCGTGTGGCGGCATGAGAATGTGTCGCTTGTCCCTGAAGTTTGCAACTCCCCACTCCAGCGCCAACACTTGGCATTTCATGAATACTTTATTATTTCTTTTTTGCAAAATTCTTCAAAATTGCAAGAAAAATTTGAAAAATATGGAGAAATTTTCTACTGGGATATAATCAATATGGGGAAAAACCTTACACTCTTATTTCCCCCCTTAAATTCGATATTTAAATCATTATGTCAGTGAAAAGGGATTTCTAGATTATTTTATTCTTTTTTTTGTTGTTGCAAATATCCTTACAAATGGCAAAAAATCTGAAAATTATGGGGAAATTTCCTACGTATTTATGGGATCACCAGAGTATCTTAGAAGATTACGGATGGCTTAGACTGCTACAAACTAAAGATAGAGAAAGGATAATCCCTCAAGCGTTGACAACACGCAACCTCCCTAGCATATGGCTTGAAGGAATACTTTAGAAAATCGTGAGTTTCATTTGAACATGAACATAGATAAATAAAATCATGGCAACAGAAGCTTAAGCATGCATCTATGAGTTCAAAAACAAAAACTTTTCCCATGAATCTTTTAAGCCAAGTGATAGTTGTACTACTTTCCTAGAACATACTTCCAAGAAGATTGGAAGGAGGAATTTTCTTTAGTGCGTGCTTTCAACCCTATGATTGAATTCCACCAAAGTTGTTGAAGCTTGAATGTCTCCTTCAAAATCTCCACCTTGTTGTTGAAGCTTGAATGACTCCTTGAAAAACTCCAACTTGAGAGGTTCTCCAAAAGTCACCAAAATAGGTAACCTCTAAGGGCATGTTTACATATCAGTAATAGGTACGAGAGGAAAGGGAATGATTTCCATTCCTGACTTTCCCTGCGTTTACTTGCAATCAGGAATGAAAAAATAAGTGGGCCCCACCTCAAAATCCGTAATCACATTCCCTCAAAACTAGGTATTAGATCAACTAGCGTGGAGTAGTCGATACGATTCCCATTCTTGTTTTCTCTTAATAACTTCCAAAAATACCCTTACCACTTTACCATAATTCTAAAATTAATTTGGATTCTGATTCATGCAAATTAGTAAACAATAACAATGGGAATCAATCTCATTCATTTGCTAATTCCATATGTTTAGTAAACAGCTTAATGGGAATGATTCTTCCCATACCGATTCAGTAGTTCTCCGATTCCTAAATTCTCTGATTCCTTACTTTCCTCATTACTGATATGTAAACATGCCCTAAGTCTCTTCACCAACTAGAGAGAAAAAGATGATGAGCTTAGTGAGAGGATGATGCTAGTAATCCCTCACTAAGATAGTATGAATCTGCATAGAGAATATTTGGAAGACTAATACCCCTTAGGCTTCAAAAAGATGATTGTCATCTTTTACTTGAGTCAACAAGTTGACTCTAGCAACCAAAGGCCCATATGAACGCCAATCACTTGAAATTGGGCCTCTTGGGTTCAATTTCATTTAAGTTTTCATACAACCCAATCTCCATGTCCAATAGGATAAAACCCAATGAGCCTAGAATTCAAAAGTCCCATTTAAAGCCTATTCCGACATCATGTGTCGTTTAAATTAATTCCATAATTAATTTTGCCTTAACCAATTAACTAAGCTTAATTGATCTCTTCAATTCATCATCTCCATAACGGTTTCTCAAATAACTCAAGTTTAACTTAAAGGACCCGACCCAAATTCTACCTTGGCATCCATGTCAAACCCTCGTTCGTGTCCAACATTTGGCGGGTGTCGGGCACAAATGACTAAAATACCCTCCCCTGAAAAATGTTCAGCATGCACAACTTAAGTTCACACACTGAACAGTTAATCCAGTTAGCCTCAAGCCTTACAGGGATTCAGGGCCATATCATAGCATAACTATTCAGGTTAAGTTTACAACAAGAAAATTATGTTCACAACGAAGGAAATGCCTACATGAGGGAGAAGAAGGAAAAGTAGCGGAAGATGGAATGCCCTCAAGTGGTTGTCCGGTACTCGTCTACTGCCTGGGGGGCGCAAAACAGTAAAAGTGTGGGTGCACACAAATAAATGTTAAAAACATAGAACATACTAACCCCCCGCCTAATTTTAAAATCCATTTGAAAACCAGTTACAATTTGGTTCTATGATCGTACAGGAAAACCATTTAAATCATCAATTTCAACATAAAATTCATCAAACTGTAAATACTTTCCACCTAGATGTATCCCAAAGAAAATCCGTCAATTCCAAGTACCACATATGTGGCCACATGTATGATACATCTCGCAGAACTCGGGGGACACGAGGTCGGCCCGAGATTCATTCCTAGTAGAACTCAGAGGACACATAGTTGACCTGAGACACATTCCTCACAACACATGGTTCGGGCTTCCTTGAGACTCATGGCGCATTATCATATGCACACAGACTTATCCAAAGGTAACCAAATAGTCTGAAGACATTCCAATTCCTGAAGGAAATTGAGATGTCCGAGGACATCATAATATCCGAAAGCAACAAAAGGATATATAAGGTGGTTTTGAAAACATTTCCCAAATCCTTTCTCAAATCATTCTCAACTTTCCGAGCTAATAATAATAATAATAATAATAATCATATAAAATTATCTCAACCAAAACCAAATGCTTGGAAAATAACCACCATAAGTAATTTATTCATAAAACATTTCATAAAACAATCATAGTAGGAAAAATCATTTATAAAACAAATGTCCACTCACTGTGGGTCCAAAGCTTGCTTGACCCTTCGAAGGTCCCTATGATTGAGCATGTGGAGTTTGAACACCTACTGAGAGAATACAAGCATTGGTTAATAAAAAGCTCTGCCTCAAACCCTTAACCAAAAACCAAATTCCTAAAATTTAAACTATGTGTGTACGACCTTAGAAAGGTCTATAGGTTCAACAAAACCCCTTTAGCAAGTCCCAAGAGTTTCACTAAGGTCTAATGGTCTGAAAGTATTGAACTTGAAAACGCCTAATAGGTAAGTTTTGGTATAATACTCAACCTGTTGAATTTAGCTAATCCGAGCATACCGTCGTGCTTGGGATGACGAGGATAGTATGAAAAAAAAGTTGTCGACATCTGGTTGAAGCGCCGCTACATGTCGTTGCAGATGGTGGGTAGCATGAGAGATTTCCGGCGACATGAAAATCTCCAAACCACCTGTCAAGTTTGTTATTTGTACAAAATCTCACGCTCTGGTGCTCCGGGCTGAGCAAATTTTGTGCCAACACAAGTCGTCCTACTTTGTGTTGGATGGGTGTGCGGGGGCATGCCAACACGGTCTACCATGCATTCGAAGATGATGTGAATGGATGAGTATATGGATTGAGTGCGCCTGTTTGGATCTGACTTCACTCAAAGCAATTGTGGCTGAGAGAGGAACAGTTCTCGGCCTGAGCTACAAGCCCGTTGATTGGGGTAAATGGTGGAAGGTAGTCGGTGGATTTAGATGGTGCTCCGGCGTCTCGCTGGATTGCAAAGGCTGTATAATATATGGGGTGGACAAAAAAGTAACAGGATGATGCTCCGACGCCTTGAAAATCAATGGTCATATGATATATTTGATGGATGGAAGGACTTAACTTTGCCACTACTCCTAGGAAAGCATTTAAATATATTGAAAGTACATTACAAGAAGATAAATGATAGGTAATGTTAATTTGCTCTGTGGGAGGGTTGTTTGTTCGGGGACCTTTTGAATGTTGCTGAGGGTCTTGTATTTATAGGAAGACGATGAAGCTTGTGAAGGTATGATTTGAGGAGTGTCATCTGCCTCTCCTTTCTTGGTGGTAGCTCCTTTGTTTATTCCTAGTAGCTTAAGTGGCTGTACATTATCACATTTCCCAGGTTAGTGGATGCATCTTTCTGCGCTCGGTCCTTATCTATAGTTTGTTGTTCACTCGACCTCAACCCCTAATACAGTGGTCATGGCTTCAAACCCGTGGCATGCTAGTGATGCAGCCTCGACCTTCGTAATCGTGACCGTGCATATTTGGGCTGAAGGGCAGTTCCTACTAGGACATGATTGAATCGTTCGATATTCGGCCAGTAATTCAGCCACTGGATGTCGCTACGTGGGCGACCCTTGGGTCAAGAATTTTAGGCATAAACATTGCCCCCCATTTCTGGATCCTTTGGCCCATTGTTGTTTCGGTAACATGGGTTGGGGCAGAATGGAGCTTTGGGAATGGACCCCTTGTATTCCTCGAAGACAACAACAAGAGATGGTGGGTATTTAATGCTTGAGCAAGCCATCTGAGTTTATTATTGCCTTGATTCGCACGAGCCGTGGTTTCAACTTGTCAAGTGAAACGACAACCTTTGAGGGCTTGACACATCAGCGAGCACTCTGTTCGCCAGACCGTCGTGCTGCTCCAGAGCATTACGACCATTCGTTTGAATTCAAGCGCCAAATAAAAGCTTGACCTTTACCATTTCTCCTTACACTTCCAAAATTTCAGACGCCCATACTCTGCCAAATTTTCTCTCGAACTCTCAAAATCTCAAACTTAATCTCCAGCCTTCTTTTTCCTGTTTCCTCTGTTGATCTTTGCTTATACTGAGAATTCCAACCATTCCCTTGCATTTGCCTTTCGAAACTCGAGTTCTTTGCTGATTTATGGGTTTTAAGCTCTTGATGTTCTTCGTGTTCTTCATCGCCTTCAAGAATTTTTTGAAAGATTCCCTCTTTGATCTCTCCTAATGGCAGCGACAACAGCTTCTTCTATTGATACTCAGTCCCAAGCCTTCCACCATGAGTTTGAGAACATTAGCCGAGAAGTTCAAGGCTCGGTAGAGGGCAATATCTTGCCCCTTGGTTTGACAATGAAGATGCCCCCTCGGAGTTCCATATTCTCTTCCCTAGTCTAAAGGGCGGCATGCCACAATGGCTGGTAACTCATCTGAAGGACAAGATGGTAGACCTCTCTTATTTCCACAAAGGTGACTACTAGGATTGGAATGCCACTCGTCCTCAAACACAATGGCCGACCTCGACTCCAGACTGGGAGAAATGGCTGCCGAGACTAGAGCACTTCATCGATCAACAATGGAAGGATCAAGGGATTTATCACTTGGTCAAGCTGTTCGAGAGCCCGATTGTCATGGATCGATCATTACTAGTCGCAACCTTGAGGTTCTGGTCTTCTGCGACACACACCATGAACCTGCGGTTCAGCATGATGATGCCAACTGTTCAAGACATGGCTGCCTTGTTCGGCCTCTATCCAATTGGCGTGGAAGTGAACACCACCCTCATAACCCCAAAGGCCCAAGCAAGTTTCAAGGCCGCTTGGCCTACGATGGCCAGGCTTGCAGCTCGAAAGGTGAAGAACATGCTCAATTACTCCAGCTTCTACAACTCCTTCTGTGTGGAAGATGATGCCAAGAATGGCTCTTATGCTCCCAGGCGAACAAGGTAGAACATTCGGTGTTCTTGTTGTACTAGTATGCAAGGTCATCTTTGGCGGCTAGGCGAACAAGGTGACTTTGGAGTTCGCCCACTTGGCTGACTACTTAGCCTAGGGAAGGAAGCTGCCGCTTGGTCCCTTCCTCCTCGGTCATATCTACCAGACCCTTCATACCATCATTATCGATGGCATGAAGCCAAGGCACGACGGCGCCCTAACTTATTTCCCTAAGCTGAGGGGGGTCGTGATGATAACGGATATTGAGTCATTGGCGAACGCATTCACTTGGTGCCCCAGGAAGCATAGCATGACGACCTTATGTTCAAATTCTTCTACAACTTGGTCGAGGGCACTGGGGCACAACTTCGAGTGTGTTTAAATCTGCCTTTTCCTCTATATCTAGCACACGACCTCTCTCACATTCCTAACGGCCAAATAGGGAATGACCTCAAGGAGATCTGGGGCTCCTTCTTGGTTTCAAGACATCTTCAGTGCGGCCTCACCAAGGCTAGGGCCGAAGTGTATTTGCCAAACCACGAGGCAAAGTAATTCGGTCTGGTACAGTTGGTCCCTATGCTTCTACTATCTAAAAATTGATTGTCGTCTTGGAGAGCCAACGTTGGTTACAACCATGACCTGGTTGAGATCTCCTTCTAACTTCAGAAGGGGATGACATTCCTTCCCCTTGTTCCTTGGAGACGGTGTAATGCCATGGATGAGGACTGCAGGGCTTAGTGGGACGATCATATCGCGACCATGGTCTTATGGTCAAGGAAGCCCTACGGGGTGCCTTGGCCAATGCAAATTGGGATCCCCTTCCTCACAAAAAGAGCAGGGCGAGAAGGGCCCCGACTGAGAACTTGGCCCCTGTGCCGCGACCTGCAACTGCCGCTCAGCATCGCCCACCAACGCTGATACCTTCGATGCTGTCAATCCCTTCGCCTACATGCTCGGTTCCTTCACCACCACTGACTGCACCGTGGATCAACTGCCTACGCCCTCGGCGGAGCCCGACGCTGAGGGCGCGACCTCTCAGCTGCCGCCAATAAACCCTACTGCCGAGATAACCTCCGAAGGTATGTATTTTTCATCTCTAGGCTTAAAAACTATATTTGCCCTTCTCCTAATGTTGACAACTTGTATACAGGTCGAGGGAGGAAAAGGTCGACGGAAGAGGTGACGACCGTTTATGAGGAAGGTAAAATCATTGAGGCTGAAGGCGAGGCTAGCGTGGTTGTTGGAGCAACGGTTAAGGAGGGTGAGGCCGTTGGAGTGGTTGTCGTATCAGAATTGCAGGCGTCACGTCTTGCCAAAAGGCTACACATCACACTGTCATCCTTAAAGTATGAGGGCGAAGATGAGGCTTCCCCCACAGAGGTACTTGAACATTTTTAAGTTGTTTGTTTCGCATGCCCTTTGAACATTTTGATAACTCGGTGTATTTTCAGGATGACCCCACAGTCGTGACCGAGGTGACTGGCGTAAAAACCATCGCGACCTCAGAGTTGCTATTGCGGCAATGCCATCTCTAGTTGATCTGCCATTGGTCTTGCTGTCCATGGCAACGGCCATGACTATTATGCCCACGCCAGTCACCTCAGTCAACCCTCATTGCCTGAGGGGCTTTGGGATCCGCTCAGTAAGTACCTCTTCGTTACAGTTACTTAGCTTATTTCCTCAAAAAACTTAGCTAATGAACTTCTTGTCTCCGGCCCTCTAAGATCTTTTATGCCTCATTTTCCCCCAAGAGTGTCATCCTTGGTTGCTCTACCCATGAGCTTAATGCCGATTCCTCCGATTGTAGCACCACTAGCACAGGCTCCATTGACCCAAGAGTCCATAGTCGTGACCAAGATTGTGGTCGCTTCTGTAGCGCTGACCAATCATCCAGTTGCGTAACTAGATGCGGAGGTAAACATCTTTTTTGGCCATTTGTTGGTTTTGTCTTTCAACTCGTTCTAACTTTTTGCCTTCCAGAACCGACTTCTTCGGATGACCTCGGTGGGCTCTTCGCAAGTTTGTATGAAGAAGGGGGCATCTTGGCCTTGATTGCTTTGTTGGAAGCCAAGTCTAAGGCTGTTATTAAGCAACTTAGGAACTTCCTTCATATGGGAGTGAATGGTATGACCAATGCGGAGACTTTCGATGAATTCAAAGGGTGTTTGGATATGGCCATGGCTCTCAACCTTTTAGACTTGGCTAAGTTGGACGAGCTGCATACCAACGTAGTTAAGGGTGAATTGATGATTGGTCACTATGTCGAGGCCGCCACGAAGATGACCATGGGTTGCACGCTTGATGAGGAGCTAACAATAATAAAAAGAATAGTCTCAGCCTATGATGGCGTCCTTTAGAGAGGACGAGCTCCTTCTTTGGAGGCAGAATGCTGAACTAGCCCAGGTCGATGCCCAAATTGCCGAACTCTAAGCTCGACTTGCAGTCCTGGTCGAGAGGCGAGACCAGGTAGCTCCTTATGTAACTGAAAAGAAGTCCTCAACCAAGCGCATGCTGAAAAAGGAGACCGATAAGAAGAAGGCACTGGCGGAGAGGAAACTCATTAGGGTGAGGTGGCTGGCTGAAATGGACAGTGGTGACATTGCTTGGAGGAAGATCACATGTCTTCTCTAGGGGATGTTTATTGAGGGGATTTAGACTTAGCTTTATTTTGCTTCTTTTAGGTTTAGTCGACCTTCTAAGGGTCGTTCCTATGTAAAGGACTAAGTCCAAACCTGGAATTTTTACCACATATATGTGAATGCTTCACTTTGGATTTTCGCTACCGCTCTTATTAATTTTGTCGAACGATTGAATGCATGCTTTTCCTTTTAGTCGTATATTGTTGCACCCAACCATCCCAATGACATTCACATATTTTCCCGACCGTTTCCAACACAGATGGGGCGTACTTTTTCAAGTACTGGTCGTTAATTGGAAAATTGTGTTGCTCACTATCTTTGTCTTTTAACTAGAATGCTCCCATGCCGAAAATCTTGTCAATCACGAACGAGCCCTTCCTAAGTTAGTGAATATTTACCGAATCTTGGGTCTTTGGTTCCAATGGGAAGCACGGCCTACCACACCAAGTTGCCTTCAGCGAAAGTCTTTTGCTTGATGTGTTTGTTGTATGCTCGTGCCACAATTTGCTTAAGTTATATGCGTCAATGCTTATTTGTTGTAAATCCTCCAACTCCTGAGACATAGCTTGCCTATAGTCTTTCTTACTTTTCCCTTGCCATTTGATCATGCGAAGAGAGCAAACATTCATTTCCATCGGCTAGATGGCATCGTGGCCGTAGGTTAAGGCATAAGGAGAAGTACCGATAGCCGAACGTTTCAAGTTTCGGTATGCCCAAAGGGTTTTTGGCAATAAATCGTGCCAAGCTCTTGGCCTCTCCTTAATCATCTTTTTAAGAATACCTTTGATTACCTTGTTGCTTCCCTTGACTTGGCCATTAGACTGGGGATAGTAAGGGGTTGAATGGACAAGCCTGATTCCCATTCTCTCGGCATACTCTTAGATCTTGGTTGAGGTGAAGAGCAGGTTGTTATCTGCCATGATAGTTTTTGGGATGCCAAACTTATGGACGATGAAGCTTTCAAAGAATTCGACTATCCGGGCTCTAGAAATTGATCTATACAGGGATCCATGCATGTTGGTTAGATGCAGGTGGGCTAATTTTGCCAATGATATCCACGGCCCATCCTTTGAATGGCCATGGCTTGGTGATTGGATGCAAAGCCTCAGCTAGTACTCTCTGTATAGGGTCGTAGATTTGACACTTAATGCATCCCCTTGCATACTCAATGCAATCTTTCAGAATGGTCAGCCAATAGTAGTCGTGTCTTCTAATCAACCATCTCATTTTGATGCTAGACGGATGAGCCCCACAAATTTCTTCTTGAGACTTGCCCATTATTGTAAGAGCATCCTTGGCATTGAGACACAGTAGAAGTAGGCCGTCAAACTCCTTTCGGTAAAGCTCGTCTTGCTAGATCAGGTACCACAGAGCCCTGAAACGTAAAGCTTTTCATGATTGCTTGAAGGGTCACAGAGATACTTAACTATGGGATACCGCCAGTCTTCTTCAACCATTTTAACCTAATCGGCCAATTTGGCAATCTCGGCTGACATTATTTGCGCTGGCATCCCTCACTCGGCCAAGGCCAGCAAGGTGTGCTTTTCAATTGTAATTACCCAGCTATACTCTTCGTCTGGGATGTTCACGCCTGATGCTATTTGGGCCATTTCATTGGCCTCGTGATTTTTTGCGTGCAGAACATGAACAAACGAGATTCTGGAGAACCCATCGGTTGCGTTGAGGGTCGTCACGTAATAAGTGGTCAATTTATCACTCGTACATTGATATTCTCATGTTAGTTGGTTGATGACCAACTGAGAGTCACCGTAGACTAGGACCTGGGTGGCTTTCATTTCCTTCAAGATCCCAAGGCCGATAATGAGCGCTTCATACTCGGCTTGTTTGTTGGTCCATCTTTGACCCTGAGGAGATTTGACCACGACCCCTGCTCCAGACACGGCCTCGGTGCTTGAGTTGTCGAAGTACATGGTCTAGTAATTCTTGTCCATGTAGACCATGCCGATCTCAACCTCAACCTCCTCTTATACTCCTTGGGTGGATGATGGGCCAAAAAATCAGCCAAGGCTTGATTAGACCTGGCAAAATTGTACACGACCCGTTAACACGACACGAATTCGCACGAAAAATTCAGTATTCGGGTCTGAGTTATCGTGTCGTGTTCATATAGTGTTGACCCGTTAGCCACCTGTTAAGCTAACTGGTCGTTTTTGTGCTCATTCGCGAATACACAAACCAACTCGTTAAGCGGGGGTAATTTTGTAATTTTCAATTATAAAAAAAATCCCTCCTAACCCTAGCATCTTTTCATTCTGCGTCGACTGAGTAGTCTAAGCGTCTCCTCCTCTCCTCTCTGCAGCTTTCTCTCCCTATCTCTCAAGTCCTCATCTTCTCATTCTTCTTGCGATCTCTCATCTCTCTGTCTTTGAAGATCTTCCTCGACCAAATACTCTCTCAAGGTACGAATGTTTTTCTTAATTTATTTGGTAAATTTGTTTGACTTTCAGTTTGGAATTTCTCATAAATCAATTGTTGAAACAAAAAAATTAACACGATTGCTTAAGGGTAGACTTTCGGCGAGAGAAGATCTGACTTCTTCACTTTTGGGTATCCATGCATGAGGGGCTAGCTGTCGAAAATAGGGGATTTGAAGTCTGAACCAAACAATCTCTATCAGATACCACATGTTACAAAATTCAATATTCAATTTCAACATGGACCATTCAACTTATCGTAATACATTATTATATTATTAGGCATTTGGCATAAACTGAATCTATTAAATTAAACTAAGGTCTATTTGATTGGTTTAAGATTAAACAAAGGTCTGTTAGATTATTTACAGGCTTTGAATATTGATATTGGTTCATTTGTTTTTTCAAAAGACCAAAAATTTGTCTTGGCTCTTTATTTTTGCATTTTATTGATATTTCTGTGAGTTTGGACTTCTTATACTACCTGTTGTTGGTTATCATATTAGTTGTGTTGGTTCAATTGTTGTGTCTAATAATATCTATATCTCTTTGTTTTATTTTTGAAGGGGATGGATGTTACAGAAAATAGCCCTACCAATGCCATTACTATTGATATTAATAATGAGGAATCAGTTGACGTTTCAATGCGTATTGATGCAGCATGTACTGAAAATATAGAAGAGAAAGAGTTAAGCCCTACAAAGAAAAAGGTTAGAGCCAATGTGGGTAAGCGTAGACTAAGATCTCCTGCTTGGGATTGTATATGTGTGTGATAGTAGGTATGGGATGGGAAATTTGTTGAATCATGCTAAAAATTGCATTAAGAAGCCTCATGGTGATGTGAAGCAATTACTTATGTCATCTTCAGGATTGCATTCCCTGCAATTTGATTATGTGAAATTTCGTCACTTGTTAATAGAGGCGACCATCAAGCATAATTTGCCTTTTAATTTTGTTGAATATGAGGGAATTAGGGCTTTGTTTGCATATGTCTCTCCTGATATTAAGCTGCCATGTAGAAATACTATTAAGACATATGTGTTGAGGATGTTTAAAAGTGAAACACAAAAACTTCATAGTTTGTTAAGCTCAATTCAGGGAAGAATTTGTATAACTTCATATTTATGGACCCCTGTATGTACTGATGGGTATCTTGCTCTTACTGCCCACTTTGTTGACCAAGATTGGAGATTGCACAAAAGAATTATAAATTTTTGTCATATGCCTCCTCCACATTCTGGTGTTGCATTATCTTAAAAAATCAATGCATTAATAACTGAGAGGGGGATTGAGAAGAAGTTGTTTTCTATTACTTTGGATAATGCTTCTACAAATATTGTTTTTGTTGAGATTTTGACAAATCAATTGAACTTTAGAGCTCTTCTGTTGATGAGTGGCAAGTTTTTTCATGTGCGTTGTTGTGCTCACATTTTAACCTTGATAGTCCAAGATGGACTTGCTGAGACCCAAAAAATTCATGGTTGGGCCCGAATAAATTATCAACCCAAAACGACAGTCCATTAAGAAAAAGCGTAAAGCAGAGTACACAAAAACCCACCACATGCGAATTATAGTTCACGTGCCACGCTAAATAAATAAATTTGCTAGGGGTTGAGATAAAATATACCGGGTCTACAAGCCCATGCCAAAATTAAACATTGCAGGACGATAAATTAAAACATGCCAAGCGATATGCCATGCCAAGCACGAAATCATTATCTCACATCCAACCACGCTACAAGCCTAAGTGGGCCCAAGCCACTCAAATACCCGGGGCTTGCTTGAGTGGGTTGTGGTATGGACGGTAATAAATCAAGCATGAGGCCCATTGATGGGCCGAGAAATGGAAAGTCTCAGGTTGCTTGGGAGCCTCGAGAGTCAAGCCCATTTCTTAGGCCCAACCGTGTGGGTAAGCACAAGGGAAAAGAAATAGCCCAAACAGCCCAAATAGCCCAAATAGCCCAAATAGCCTATTAGCTTAAAAGCCCAATGTTTGATAAAATAGCCCACTTGCTTAAGGGACCCCCCTTGGTCCATACAAAACTCCAAAATAAGCCACAAAAGCCACATCCCTTTGCTGAAAAAAATGGAAGCCACATAGAGAGGGTCTGCAGGTCCATTGAACTAAGCTACTGGGAGTTTCCAGCACATGGAGGGAACAAGTTCCAAGCAAGAAACACTCGAGTGACCAAGGAATATTAGCCTGCGAGTTGTCAGAAGCACCTTTTAAACCAACATGTAAATCCCAACTCCTTTCCCCATCAAACTTGGCCATAGAAAAAGGAGAAGAAAGCAATGAACAAAATGGCTAGAAGTGGAAAGTCTGCCATTGAGGTGGCTGCGGGAAAAGGGGGGCTTTGAGCTTCAAAAAACTCTGATATGATAGGAGAGATTTCATCAAAATGGAAAAACCAAAGGAGGAAACAAGAAATGAGGGAAAGGCTTAGCCAAAATGGGTAGAAGCCATTAGGGTTTCTTGAAAAATGGTGGTTTCCAGCGGCTATAAATTGAGGCTTATCCTACCTAACAAAGGCAACTCCGATTCAGAGAGTAAGCCTTCTCTCTAACTTGCAAAAACCCAGCAACCTCGTGCACTGTTCATCTCCTTCTCCATTTTGTTCTTCTGGTAGCTGCCAGAAGAACTCTGCTCTTCATTTTCCCTTTCCTAGCCAAATCTCTCACAAAACTTCTCCTTTCTTACCCTAACACTTCCTTTTTCCTCAAAGAAAGCCTAAATGTTCTCTTAGTGCTAAACTCATGTTGATTTTGCTTCCATGCCATATGTCACTCATGTTGAGCTAAAAGATTATCTGTAAGCATGCCAAAACCACTTGTAAGCTGCCATTATTTTGGTTGGTGAAGGTAACCAAAATATTTCCTAAGGCTTTGCTGCCCTTTTGAAATATTTTTGGGGCTTAATTTTTGAACCCAAGCAAAGGGGACAGTCTCCTCAGTTTGCCCTTTACAGTAGCCTAGCCCATTATAGCTACAGGAAGAAAAGTCCCCTACAGGACTTAAGGAAATTGATTCGTGAGTGATAAAGATTCGTGAGTGCATGAAATATATAAAGGGTTCTGAGGGGAGGAAACAAAAGTTCTATGAATGTGTTGCACAAGTAGGGATAATGGGTAGTAAGAGAGGATTGAGACAAGATGTCCCTACTAGATGGAACTCAACTTATACCATGCTTGAGAGTGCACTTTTATGTCGTCTTATTAATTTAGGATTGATTGATTCCAATTTTAGTAGTTGTCCTTCTCCTCAAGAGTGGATTAAAGTAGAGAAGATTTCAAAGTTTTTGGGGTACTTTTATGATGTTACATGCTTATTTCTGGGACAGAGTACCCCACATCAAATTTACTCTTCCCTAAGGTGTTCATAATACAACACCAAATCAAGGCAACCATGGAAGATAATGATGGTTTCATGAACAAGATGGGAACTAATATGAACATGAAGTTTGAGAAGTATTGGTCAAAGTACAGTTTAATTCTTGCAATTGCAATTATTTTGGATCCTTGTTATAAGTTGCATTTTGTAGAGTGGGCTTATACCAAGCTTCATGGTAAGGATTATGAAGAGTTCAAATATGTTAGAGACACATTGACATCTCTTTTTGATGTGTACTCGGAAAGTTTATCTCATCTTGTTACTTCGAATTATGGAATGAATGAGATGGCTAGTCATACGGAAGATGGAGACACCATTTTTTAGGTAACCTAAACTTATTTTCTTTTTGATATTTATTGTTGCATATTATATGTTACAATGATGCATAATTCTAATATTTGCATGTTTCAATTTGTATGATGTATGATTTTGATAATAGTTACAAAAATGGTCCAAGTACAAGTAGGAAAAATGAATTGCACAAGTATTTGGATGAGGAAACACTAGATAGAAAGCAAGACATAGATGTTCTTTCTTGGTGGCAAATGGAGCATTTTCATTATCCAATACTTTCAAATCTAGCTTGTGACGTGTTAACAATTCATATTTCTACGGTTGCATCGGAATCCGCTTTTAGTATTCGTGGTAGAGTACTAGATCAATACCGTAGTTCATTATTGCCTGAAATTGTTCAAGCTTTGTTGTGTACTCGAGATTGGCTTTTTGGCAAGGGAGGTCAATTTTATATAACTTAAAACTAGTGTTTTATTTTCTGTTTTTTCATTATGTGAACGTTTTGTAACTTTTGGATTTTCAATGCTTAGCTATGGAGGAAGAGAGTGCTACTGTGGAAAGCCTTACTAAAGATATCTTCAAACTTACTTGTCACAATACTAGATCAGGACAAAGCTCCAATAGTATTTCTCTTGAAAATTGATGAGAGGTATTGATGAGTAATTGATATTTTATCAATGTAATATTTCTCAATAATTGTATACTTTTTTCATAGTTGTCTATCATTTTTTTTTCCAAGAAAATTGCACTTGGTGAAATGTTGAAGTTTGGATCATCTTCATGGGTTTTTTTTTGTGTGGATCTTCATGGATGTCACTTCATATTTGTTTTGCCTTTTCCGCTTGTTATCATGAATCATGGTCACGGATGTTGAAGTTTGAATTAAATTCAAGAATTTTAGCTTTTGTTGGAATGATATTGATTTTTTGGGCATGTACTATTTGCATTTAAAATTTGTTCAAAAATATAGGTTTTTTAAATTTTTATTAAAAAAATTATTTTCTTAACGGGTGAAACAAGTCGTGTCGTGTGATTCGTGAATTGTAGCCGGTCGTATTCATGTTTGATATTTTCCACCCGTTTTCTTATCGTGTCGTGTCATGTCAACCCATTAAGAAAAACGGGTTGACACGAATGCCAGGTCTAGGCTTGATCTTTAACCGACTTCTGGGCAACATATTGAAATGTGAACTCGAACAAGGCCATAGTCCATTTCCCAATTCGGCAGCAAATGATCGGCCATGTCAGCATGTATTTAATGAGATCGATCTTGGAGATGACTTGAACGACCGAGAGAAGCATATAATGGCGTAGCTTAGTGACTGCAAAATAGAGCACTAAGCACAGTTTCTTTATCAGTGAATAGTTGAGCTTGGCTGTATTGAGGGTTCGGCTGAGATAATGCACGACTTGTTCTCGCTGAGACTAGTTGTTTTGGGCCAACAAACAGCTGAAGGAGTTTCCTGAGGCCGAGATGTAGAGCCTTAAAGGTTTTCCTCTCTTTGGTGGCATAAGAACTGGTGGCTAGGACAAGTATTCCTTGATTTCGTCAAACGCCATTTGATGCTCGGCCTTCCAAATGAACTCGTCCATGTCCCTTTATCTGAGCAAAGGGGATAATGACCAAATCTTGCTTGCCAAGTTGGATATAAAAGGCCTTAGAAAGTTGACCTTTCTAACGAAGGATTTGAGCTCTTTCTTAGTTCTTGGTAGTGATGCAGCCATGACGTGTTGGCTACGCAAATCTCACGGCCTGGTGCTCCGGCGCGTTGCTCAGAGAGTGACGGTCGTATGATATATGAGGTGAATGAGATGATAACAGAGATGGTGCTCCGGCGCCTTGAAAATCAAGGGTCGTATGATATATTGATGAATGGATTTTCCTTACAATCTACCACTACTCCTAAGAAAGCAAATAAAGGTATTGAAAGTGCATTACAGGAAAATATAATTTGCTCAGTGGGAGGCTTTTGGTTTGGTGTTTCAACCCCTTGAATGTAGTCTTGAGCTTAGTATTTATAGGGGGAGTCCTGGAGGGACAATCGAGGCTAAAAAGATCTGCGTGGTGGAGCCTGATTGGGGCAATGGGTAGTCAAGTCGGCATTTGGGATCGTGAAGCATGGTGGTGTGACCCCCATAAATCCCGGTAAATCTCGGCCACCGCCCTGATCATGGGTTCTACCCCCTTGGCCGTGGGAACGCATTTAATGCCCTGGTCTAGTGGTTGGTGATCTGACCTTAAGTAGTAAGAATACTTGTGAGAATTTTTGCGCCCAACCACTCTGATTTCCCTCACCAAATCCTGACTTCAGTCACTTCCCTTCTTCCCTCGTGCATTAAATGCTTCTTGTGACTAGTGGGTTTGCTGCGATAGTCAGAGGCATTACTTCATTAAATGGGGCGTGGGACCCTGAGGCCACGTGGCGATTTAACCACAGTATCTTCGACCGTGTCTTTTACGGCCTTCGGCTTCGGCCTACAATACTGCGGTCGCGAGGCCGAGAGCATTTTGCCTTTGCAGCTTTTCTATTGTTTTCAGGAAGGCGAAATGCCTAACGAAACGGTAGGTGCAGGGCCAAGAGGAAGTCCCTTCAGTCAGTTTATGACTGTGATTTATTAGGCACAAACATTGCCCCCACATCCCTGGATTCTTCGGTCGCAGCCTGGGCAGAGGCCGAATGGATTCCAAGGGATGGACCCTTTACATTCCTCCTGAAGTGATTGACAGTTGGTGCTTTAAATGCGTAGGTCGGTCGGCGCATTTAATGCGCAAGCACGTCTTGCAGGCCATCATTGCGTGAGCCGTCGTTTCATCTCGTTAAATGAAACGACGGCTTTTGGGCTTCTGACATGTCATCGCGCACTTGAACACATTGTCAGACCGTTACGTCTCTTAAGAGAGCCATGCCCTTTCGTTTCGAATTCTAGCGCCAATATAAAAAGCCTTGCCTTCTTCAATTTTCTTCACTCTTTCCCCTCCATTCTAACCTGCTCTAATGGCCCCCCTTGTAGCTTCTCCAGAACCGGGGTTGAGCCATATCCGCGGATCCTCGAGTCGTGGCCTGATCCAGATGGTTTTTCCCCTCCTGCTGTCCACCAACTATCCTTCATCTTGGAAAGTCGACGTGGGCCAAGGCCATGGTGTGGCCGAGATTCCTTCCCGCCCCTGGGGGAGGATGATCTTCCTCCTTATGAGGCCGTGGAGAAACTGTAATGCGAATGATGAAGATGGGAGGGCCTGGTATGATGATTCCAACTTGGCCACGTTCGTTTGGCTTAGCACCTCGGTTGCACCCATGGCCGGAGTGACGGCCATGGCTTTACCCAGCCACAGTTGTGCCCAGAATGACGGCCTTGGCCATGGCCGGAGTGACGGCCTCGGCCATGTTGTGAGTGACGGCCTTGATTTCAACCCGGTTTCACCCATGTCCAGAGTGACGGCCTTGCCCATGGTCGGAATGACGGCCCTGACTTTAGCCAACTGCACCCATGTCCTGAGTGACGGCCTCGGCTATGGCCTGAGTGACGGCCTTGGCTTCAACCCGGTTTCGCCCATGTCCAGAGTGACGGCCTCGCCCATGGCCATGGTCAGTGAAGATGTGGGTGGTGGAGGCACCGCCTAGGGAAGAATCTTCTGCCTACTCTAGCGAGGGATCAAGAAGCGGCCGTTCATAGATTTAGAATGTACTCTATTTTTCGCACATGTATGTTTATATGTTTCATTCGGCCATGACCGGCCGTTTGTTTTGTAACCGCGACCCCTCTCTTTTAATCTAAATGAAGTATAACCCTTTTTTTTTCTTCTGACCGAATGTATGTTTTTCTTTCATCTTTGTCGTGTTTTGTACTCCATTAACCCATTCTTGGCCGTCTCCCATAATGACAGGGTATATTTCTTCAAATACTGGCCGTTTATTGGCAAGTTGTGCCATTCTCCATCCCTATCTCTCAACTGGAATGCACCTCGGCCAAGAATTCGTTCGATAATAAACGGCCCTTCCCAATTGGGTGAGAATTTGCCGAACCGAGGGTCCTTAGTCCCGATAGGAAGCACGGCACGCCAGACCAAGTCGCCTTCGGCGAAAGTCTTTTGCTTCACCTTCTTGTTGTAGGCCCTCGCCGCGATCTGCTTTTGTGCTTGCATTAGGTTATAAGCATCGAGTCTGGATTGCTCCAAATCTTCTAACCCCTGAGCCATGGCTTGCGCATAGTCCTTCTCTTCCTGCCCAGGTCGTTCGGTCACACGGAGAGACCGAACCTTTAACTCAATCGGAACGATCGCGTCATGGCCGTAGATTAAGGCATAAGGGGATGTGCCAGTAGCCGATCGTTTTGAGACTCGGTAAGCCCAAAGGGCTTCAGGGAGTAAGTCGTGCCATGCCCTAGGTTTTTCCTCAATCATTTTCTCGAGGATGCCCTTGATTACCTTGTTGCTCGCCTCGGCCTGTACGTTAGACTGTGGGTAGTAGGGTGTCGAGTGGACCAATTTGATTCCTATCCTTTCGGCGTATTCTCGAGTCTCGACTGATGCGAAAACTGGGACGATGTGATTTTCGAAGAATCTGACCACCTGTGTGCTAGAAATGGACCAATAGGACTCCGCCTCGACCCATTTAGTGAAATAGTCAGTTGCCACCAAAATCCAGGCGTGCTGGTTGGACGCGGCTGGGTAGATTTTGCCAATGATATCCACGGCCCATTCTCTGAACGGCCATGGTTTAGTAACCGGGTGGAGGGCTTCAACTAGTACTCTTTGTATGGGGCCGTAGATTTGACACTTGATACACCCTTTCGCATATTCTATGCAGTTCTTTAAAATGGTCGACCAATAATAGCCGTGCCTCCGGACCAACCATCTCATCTTGACGCCAGACTGGTGAGCGCTGCAAATCCCTTTGTGGGATTCGGTCATGATAACCTTAATATCTTCGGCGCTGGGGCATAGGAGCAATAAGCCGTCTGATCCTTTTCGATACAGCTCATTCTAATAAATCAAATAACACCGAGCTCGGAAACGAGTAGTCCTTTCATGGTTGTCGGAGGGATCGCGCAGATACTTTATTATGGGGTAGCGCTAGTCGGCTTCGGCCGTTTCGACCTCGTCAGTAATTTCAACCGATGATACTTGCGTTGTCATTCCTCACTCGGCCAAAGCCGGAAGGGTACGCTTCTCGATTCTTATCACGCGGTCGTGGTTGCTGTCCGGAATGTTCACACTTGACGCTACCTGGGCCATCTCATTGGCCTCATGGTTTTCGGCGCGCGACACATGAACGAAGGAGATCCTAGAAAACTCGTCCGCCGTATTGAGGGCGTTACATAATACATGGTTAAATTCTCGCTCATGCACTAGTATTCCCCCGGTCAGTTGGTTAATTACCAGCTGAGAATCACCGTAGACTAGGATACGGGTCGCCTTAATTTCTTTTAGAATTTCAAAGCCGATGATGAGCGCTTCATATTTGGCCTGATTATTGGTGCATTTGAAATCAAGCTGGAATGCAAATTGCCACCTTTGTCCTTGGGGGGACTCGATCACGACCCCGGCCCCAGATCTGGTCTCGGTACTGGAGCCATCGAAGTACATGGTCCAGTAGTTCTTCTCCATGCAGGGCATGCCGATCTCGACCTCCAACTCTTCTTCCTGCCCCTGAGCCGGGTGGTGGGCCAAGAAATCAGCCAATGCCTGACCTTTGACCGACTTCTGAGCCACATATTGGAAGGTGAATTCGGACAATGCCATCGTCCACTTCCCGATCCGGCCGCGTATGATCGGCCGAGTGAGCATGTATTTGATGAGGTTGGTCTTGGAGATGATCTGAATGCCCGAAGGAAGCATATAATGGCGCAACTTGGTGGTCGCGAAATAAAGTGCCAAGCATAATTTCTCAATCGGTGAATAGTTTAGCTCGGCCATGTTAAGGGTGCGACTCAGATAGTGCACTGCTTGTTCTCGCTCAGACTCATTGTTCTGAGCCAGCAGACAACCGATAAAGCCCTCTGAAGCCAAAATGTAAAGCCTCAAGGGTTTCCCTCTTTTCGGCCGCATAAGGACCGGTGGTTGAGATAAATATTTCTTGATGTCGTCGAGGGCCGCTTGATGTTCTGCCCCCCACACAAACCGTTCCGTGTCTCTCAGTTTGAGCAGAGGAGTCAACGGCTGGATTTTCCCTGCCAAATTGGATATGAACCGTCTTAAAAAGTTGACCTTACCGAGGAAGTACTGGAGTTCCTTCTTGGTCCTTGGCGGAGGTGCTGCCATAATGGCTGTGGCTTTATTTTTATCTACCTCGATCCCTCGTTGGTGAACCAAGAAACCGAGAAAGTTCCCGGCGGTGACGCCGAAAGCACATTTCTTAGGGTTCATCTTTAGGTCGTGTGCCCGCATTCGATTGAAAGCATGTCGAAGATGCCCCATGTGGTCGGTTTTGGATAGGGATTTTACAACAACGTCGTCGATGTAGACTTCAACGGTTCGGCCAATTAGGTCGTGAAAAATAAGGTTCATAGCTCGTTGGTACGTTGCGCTAGCGTTCTTCAGGCCGAATGGCATGACTACCCATTCATAAGTCCCGATTGCGCCTGGACATTTGAACGCCATCTTGTGGACATCTTCCTCTGCTATGAAGATTTGGTTGTAACCAGCGTGGCCGTCCATGAAAGACAGGAGCTCGTGCTTCGCGGCTCCGTCCACCAGGAGGTCGGACATAGGCATGGGATACTCGTCATTGGGGGTCGCGAGGTTTAGATTTCTGTAGTCGGTGCAAACCCTCAAAGCCCCAATCTTTTTCAAAACTAGTACGATGTTAGCCAACCACTCAACGTACCGAGCCGTGCGGATGAAGCCGGCTTTAAGGAGCCATTCAATTTCCTTTTTGACCTTAAGTTGTACTTCGGTCGAGAATCGCCTCGGCGACTGTTGGAAAGGCCTAAACCCCTTCCTAATCTTTAGCTCGTGCTCGACCAAACTTCTTGGCATCTCATGATAATCCCAAGCAAAACAATCCTTATATTCATGGAGCAGGTCGATAATCTCGGCTGCTAATTCAGGGTTCAAAAGCTGGCTTACAAAAAGAGGCCGTGGTTCGGGCTCGGTCCCTACATTTATTTCTAATAACGGGTCGTGGACCTTAGGGTAGTCATCCTCCATCTCGGCGAGCGCTGTTTCCAAGTCGTCAAAGGCTAAAGTGTCCGTCTCATCTGATTCGTGGAGGAATTCAATTAGGTTAATCGGCGAGTTTGGCTGTAAGGATTCCTCCGCCCAATGTTCCAGCAATCTTTCCAGCAGGTCGGTCATGGCCACTGCTCCCTCTTCTTTAGTGGCTTTGTCTGTCATCTAAAGGCTAGTGAGGTCGATCAATACTTCGCGCGCCGAATCCTGTCAAACATTCTCGGCGCCTAACTCCAGCACTTTCTGGGCCGTTGTCCTGGTTGGTCGGCCGCTTGCATCATGGCCGGTGAGGACAACCCATCCAACGTCGTCGTCGTAAATTCGTGCTTGCACGTCGTTGGTTTTGAAGGGTTTTTCGTCAGCCGGGAGCATGGATACCCTCTGGTCGTCCCAAAAGAACAACAGTTGGAAGAGGGAGGACGGTATGCATCCAATCACGATCGAGCAATATATTGTAGCCCACACTGGATTCGACTACGTAGAAGGCCGCGACTCTTGTCTGGTCGACCACGGTGATTTTTAACAGCATTACCCCGATGGTCTTAGATTTATCGCCAACAAAGCTGCTCATGACCACGTCGCTGGGGATGAGGTCCTCTTTTGACTTATCCAGCTTCTTCATCAGGGAATACAGAAGGATATTGACTGTCGCCCCACAGTCAACGAAGACCTTGGACACGGGCACACCCTCTACATGAGCCGAGATGTACAACGGCTTGAGGTGTTGGTATTTGTTTAGCTTGTCTCTGGGTATTACCTCGTTAAAAGCCACGGCCAATAACTCTTCCTTTGTTTTTGGCCTTTGATCAAGCTGCTCCTCGGCCAAGTCATTATCCAGGCCGTTGGTCTGGCCTCCTGGGGCTGAAAACTCGGACGGTAGTACCAAGACCATGTTCATGCTGACCTCCTTTGGCTCCTGCTGGTCTCCCCCACCAGCTTCCTCTTCGTCCTCACAGCCGCCCCTGGCGAGGGTTTTTTCCTCAACCATCCCGAGGATCCCCTCATATTCCTCATCGGAGATTCCCAACGTGGAGTCGTCTTCGGCCTCGTGTCCAAAGAAAAGGTCGTCGGGGCCCTCGACCATAGGCCTTGCAGTCCTAGGGGTCCCGTCTGTGGACGCTTTGATCTTAGGGGGGGTCTAAGGCCTCGACCTCCTCCTTGAGGGCTTGTCTAGCCTTAGCTAACGCATCCCTGGCCGTTAAGTAGTCGTCCAGACGGCTTACCCGGGCCCTTTCCTCGATCGTCAGACCAAAGATAGTGTCGGTCGGAGTAACAGTAAAATATTGGCGAAGGTATTCTAAGTCGCTCCTGCTAAAAGGAGCCTTGTCCTCCAATCTTCCCTGATCGGGTCAGTAACCTGGCATCCCGGTTTGCCTGGTATACGGCCTTAATGGCCGAGTTTGATCCGCTGGTAATGAGGAGCGCCTCCGCCTTAGCGTTTTTGAGGGCCAACTCCACGATTTCACGGTTCTCAGGGGTCATGCCGTATAGTTCGGTGGTCGAGTGGTCCTTATGGAATTCCATGAGAAAGGACAAACCGTTGGCCGAAAAAGGGGGGTCCCTTCCGTGGTAGACGTCGATGATACCCTCATCTGTTTTCTCTAGGGCCGCGGCCTTTGGCTCGACCAAAACGGCCGCCATTCTGCAGGGATAACCGTCCTGCCTAGGGCGCCACGTCCTCGGAGGCTTGATGCTGGCAGCCTTCGTTGTAGAGGGAACGATTGGTACGGATGGTGGCTCATTTGCGGTCGCCATCTTCTTTTGGCGTTTTAATCCTGGCCTGCTGAACTTGTCTCTGCATCCTTCTCAATTGGGTCTTTGTCAGTGGTTCGGCGCTGCCCCCAGGTCGTGCATGATACCAACGGTCATCCCGTACGACCGGTGGTTTAAAAGTCTTCACCGGCCTAGGAGCGGCTTCGTCTTTGCGGCCTGCTGAGGTACTTGGGCTTTGTGCCCCTAGTCGGTCGAAAACGGCTCTGCTTGCTGGCCGACGGTCGTATTGGCCGCTGAATTTCTTCATAGTCGGTTGAGATGGCTCGGCGGCCTTCCTTTTGTTCTCTGGCGGTCTGAGCTGACCGATCTCGTACTTGCACCGACTGCACGGTACCGGTTCTGGTTCAGCCAACGGCTCCTTTCCTTTTGCCGGCCGATGAACTTCCCTATACTCGGCCCGAAGCTGAGCATTGACCATGTTGATGACAAGTGGAGAGAATGGCTTGGAGTCAACCTGCATGGCTGCCTTTTCCGGGAATTGGAGCTTCTTTTTGTCTATCAACTTCTAGATGACGTCTCGTAGAACAACGCAGTTGTTGGTGTTGTGAGACCAAGAACTGTGGTATTTGCAAAACGTCTTTCCTTTGAGCTCTTCGGGTTTCGAAATTTTATGGCCGAAGGACAATTTGACCTTTTTCTCGGTCAACAGTAGGTCAAAGATAGCTTCGGCCATGGTCAAATCAAAAGTGTAGGCCTTCGTTTCTCGAGTCGCGAACTTGGCATCGGGAATCTTCGTGCGATTATTGTCGGCCTTGACAAGTCCTTTGCAGACGAATGGTTTGTATATGCTAACTTCAGCTGAGCTCATCTCAACTTCGTCGCTCTCGACCTTTGTGGGGCCGTCTGCTTTGGCATAGCCGACAACGGGATTCCGATAGTAAGTCCCTTTTGAAGCCGTCCTCTTCTGCACCTCTTCTTTCAACAAGGATGTGTATCGGTCCACCTTGTTGATCAAGTCGTGCATGTCCCGGAATTCAATTCCCTGGAATTTCTTTAGGTATTCGAATTCCAATCCTTCTTCGGTATCTTGACAAATTCCCTCTCCGGTAGGTTCGTGCGGCACTAGTTCTTGCATGTTTTGAATAGCTGCAGGTAGTCGCGAGGTGATTTGTCTGACGCCTGGCTCATCCTTGCCAGCTCGGCGACCGTTATTTCTCGGTTGGTCTGATAGAAATGTTCGTGGAATATCCTTTCAATGTCAGACCAATCCCTCACCGAATTCGGTGGAAGGTTTATGAACCATGATAACGTCGCGCCGGTCAGAGAGTGAACGAATAAACGAAGCCTCTGGGCGTCCGAATCGGCCTCTCCGCACTGGGCCGTGAAGCGGCCTATGTGTTCAATGGAGGAGGTCTGCCCATCCCTGGAGAATAGAATGAATTTGGGCAACCGATAGTTCCGAGGAAGAGGGGTTCGGTCAAATTCTGGCGAGTACGGTTTGGTATACTTTGGCGCTTTCGGGCGCCTCTAAGCCAGGCCGTCCTCGATCATTCGCCGGACGTCTTGGAATCGGAGCCCCTAAGAGGGCGCTTCTTGCTAGGCCGCAACCAGCCGCGGAACTTGTTGCCCTTCGTTCTGCGGCCTTATCTGCTGGGCCACTTGAACGGGGGGTTCGGTTGTTGCGACCGAGCCGGGCGGCACTAGATAAGCGCCGTAGGTTTGACCGGGGTGCGTATGTGTTGCTGTCGGAAGGGCCGAACCGTACTGAATGTGGGAGCCTGACGAAAATAACCACGCCTGTAATGGTGAAACGGTCGGATTGCTCTGACCGTATTGCTGTGACGAAGCAGCGGTCGCGTTGCCTAGGCCAGGATGGGTCTGGACGGCCACGGTGTGAACTGGGCCAAGTTGTTGGACCACAGGATGTGTGGGGCAGCTTTGCCCCAGTGATATGGCCAAAGCATGGAGTGGGCCGTACGCTGTTTTTGCTGGGCAGGTCGGTCCAGGATTTACCCATGTTGGGTGGGATTGCCCCCAGCTATTTGTCGGTGGCTGAGAATGCTGGTCGTAGCCTGACACTTGGGTGCGGCCAGAGGCGCCGAGGCTGTTGCTTTCGCCGTAGGGCTCAAACCTTTCGCGCTCTTGGCTTCTCTGTCCGGCTCTGGGAGGCGTCGCAGACGACGTTACCGGCATCCTCTCCTGAAAGAGCGTCCGTAGCTTTGAGGAGAATTTGTCCATTGCAGCCATAAAGGATGTCTCTATCTTGTAGGCCTGCTTAGCCATCAGACCGTACTGGCCGAGATTCTGACCGCGTGTTCGGTCTCGGTGATAGTGATTGGTGAGGTGGACTCAGGAGCCTCGGAAGTCATTTCGACTGTTGTGTTTTTGAGCTTTGCCTATGCCGTAGTTTCCACCATGAGTTTTTGACAAGAGTCCCACTGGGCGTGCCAAAAGTGTTGGCTGCACAAATCTCATGGCTTGGTGCTCCGGGCAGAGGGGATGTGCGTTAACACGTGACGTCCTTCTTTTGGATGCAGTGCGGTTGTGCGCGGGCGTGCCAGCACGGTCTACCATGCGTCGAGATGGTGATGAGGTTTGGGTAGAAGATGGTTAAATGATGCGCCTGTTTTGAGTTCGACTCCTAATCAAAAGATTGTGGCCGAGAGAGGAACTGATCTCGGCCATCAGTTTCACGGCCTGAGCTACAAGGCCGTTTAGTGGTGGTGTCGGTGGCGGGTTTTAGGTGGTGCTCCGGCGCGTTGCTCAGAGAGCGACAATCATATGATATATGGGGTGAATGAGATGATAACAGAGATGGTGCTCCGGCACCTTGAAAATCAAGGGTTGTATGATATATTGATGAATGGATTTTCCTTACAATCTACCACTACTCCTAGGAAAGCAAATAAATGTATTGAAAGTGCATTACATGAAAATATAATTTGCTCTGTGGGAGGCTTTTGGTTTGGTGTTTGAACCCCTTGAATGTAGTCTTGAGCTTAGTATTCATAGGGAGAGTCCTGGAGGGACAATCGATGCTGAAAAGATCTGCATGGTGGAGCCTGATCAGGGCAAGTGGGTAGTCAAGTCGGCATTTGGGATCGTGAAGCATGGTGGTGTGACCCCCATAAATCCCGGTAAATCTCGGCCACCGCCCTGATCGTGGGTTCTGCCCCCTTGGCCGTGGGAACGCATTTAATGCCCTGGTTTGGTGGTTAGTGATCTGACCTTAAGTTGTAAGAATACTTGTGAGAATTTTTGCGCCTAACCACTCTGATTTCCCTCACCAAATCCTGACTTCAGTCACTTCCCTTCTTCCCTCGTGCATTAAATGCTTCTTGCGACTAGTGGGTTTGTTGCAATAGTCAGATGCATTACTTCATTAAATGGGGCGTGGGACCCTGAGGCCATGTGGCGATTTAACCACAGTATCTTCGGCCGTGTCTTTTACGGCCTTCGGCTTCAGCCTACAATACTGCAGTCGCGAGGCCGAGAGGATTCTGCCTTTGTAGCTTTTCTTTTGTTTTCAAGAAGGCGAAATGCCTAACGAAACGGTAGGTGCCAGGGCCGAGAGGAAGTCCCTTCAGTCAGTTTATGACCGTGATTTATTAGGCATAAACATGATGGCTTTGGCTTTATTCTTGTCCACCTCAATCCCTCATTGCTGAACCAAGAAGCCAAGAAAGTTCCCGGCTGTGATGCCAAAAGTGCATTTCTTAGGGTTCATTTTCAGGCCGTGAGTTCACATTCGCTGAAATGCTTGCCGAACATGTCCCACATGTTCGACCTTGGTAACAAACTACATCGTCAATATAAAGCTCAATCGTTCGCCCGATCAAGTTATGGAAGATGAGATTCATGGCTCGTTGGTACGTTGCGTCGATGTTCTTGAGGCCGTAAGGCATGACCACCCATTCATATGCCCCGATAGTGCCTAGACATCTAAATGCCATTTTGTGGACTTCACTTTAGGCGATAAAGATCTTATTGTACCTGGCATGGCCGTCCATAAAGGATAAGAGCTCATGCTCCGCAACTCCATCCACCAAGAGGTCGACCATGGGCATAGCCTATTCGTCCTTTGGAGTCATAAGTTTCAGGTTTTTATAGTCTATATAAACCTTGAGAGCTCTGGTTTTCTTCAATACTGGCACGATGTTGGCCAACCACTCAATGTACCGAGCGGTACGGATAAACCAACTTTGAGAAGCCGTTCAATTTCTTGCTTGACTTGCAGTGGTACCTCAGCAAAGAACCGCCGTGGTGGTTATTGGAAAGGTTAGAACCCATCCTTCATTTTTAGTTCATGTTCTACTAAACCCCTTGGCAATCCAGACATCTCATAATAGTCCCAAGCAAAACAATCTTTATATTCACAAAGCAGGCCAAGACGAAAATATTTGCTCCCACACATATCATGTGGGAAAACTAATGTTGAAATGGATGAAATCATTCAAAATGTGACGACAGGCCCGAAATTGGCTATTTAAACAATTTCGAATCCTTAATTTATGCAAAACAAAAAACCCGGGTGTAAATTGAGAATTATGGTATAGTTCAGGGTGCAAAACCTCATGTTAGCCAATATTGAAAACGCATCAACAAACATTAAGGTTACAATTACGAAACCACATTGCATCAAAATTTTCAAATTTTCAATTGCATCAAAGTACTAAAGAATTCTTAAAGATGGAATTTAAAATTAGGTTTATTTACTGTAGTGCCTCCTGAAACTTCGGTCAAATCTCATTTTACCCCCCAAAAGTTAAAGTGGCTCACTTAACCCCCTTAACCGTAATTTCGTGTTCCACTTTACCCCTAACTGTTATCTCCATTAATAACTCTATCAGTTTTGATGTTGTGGCAGTGGTATTTTAGTCTTTTTATCACAAGTGATGATGTGTCATGTGAATGCCCCTCTTTTTTTGTTTAAATTGAATTAAATATAAAATAATACAATTACTTATTTAATTAAAAATATATATAAATAAAGATAAATTAATAAATAAAAATCTTTCTTCTCTATGCTTTAAAAATAAATGAAATTAAATCTAAAAAATCGTACCCAAATCAAAATTGTAATAAATTAATAAAACAATGAAAACAAAAGATTAAAAGATTAAAAAACACAAAACAAAAGAACTAATAAATAAATAAAATAAAAACATTGAGCAAACAGTGTAGCCCCACCCTTTATCCAGCAACCATCATCTTCCTTACCTACCTAACAATCATCTAAGCCCCAACCCACAACCCACCAACCCAACCACCCAATCATCACTCAAGCCATCCATACCCCCCGACCCCCAATCATTTGAAACCAACACCATACACCCAGCTGCCCCCTGAACTTCCTCGACCCCAATAGCCACCCCACGCCAACGGAGAGCGAACCTCTACCATTAAAAAAGTTTTTAATTTTTTAGTTAGTCAATTCCCCTAATTCCTTTATAGAGGAATGACACCAATTGCAATGGATGCCAAATTCATGGTCATAATCTTTGGGGATTGGGTGGGTATGGCCGGTGGAGGGTGTAGTTGGTCGTGGGTTTGGATGGTTATGGATGATGGTGTGGTGATTTGTTGCAAAGAGAGGATAAAGGAGAAAGGAGAAAGGATGAGGCCATTTTTGGGGAAGATATGGATCATCTGGGTGGGTTTTATTTTTTAATTTTTAATATTTTTTAATTTTATTTTCAAAGAATAGAGAAGCAATATTTTTAATTATTAATTATCTCATTTTTAATATAATTTTTTTAATTAAACAAGTAATTAGATTTGGTAAAAGACTAAAATAGCCATGCCACATCATCAAAACTAACAGAGTTATTAATGGAGATAATGGTGGGGGTAAAGTGGAACATGAAATCATGGTCAAGGGGGGTTTAAGTGGGCCACTTTAACTTTTGGGTGGGTGGGGGGGTAAAATGAGATTTGACCGAAGTTTCAGAGGGCACTACAGTTAATAAGCCTTAAAATTATGTAAGTATTTTTTTTTGTTGGAAATGTAAGTTGATAAACTAGAATTTGTAAAGTTTCTTGTTTGGCTAATGAATTTAAACATGTTAATATTTTAAAACTTCCACTCTCTTGGAATTTTAGAAATAACAACTAATTTAGATAGGAAGTTAGGATTTATAACCTCCAAATATATTGTATTTTTATATGTGAAAATTTTAAATTTCTATGTTTTTTAAATCATAACATGAGAAACGTCAATTTAGAAATCTCACTTTTGTCCACATCCAAATTTATAAATAGGAATAAAAGAAGCGCCCAGCTCTCAAAAACACCCAAAATATTTTCAAAATGACGAAAAACCCATTATCTTTAGTATCAAAGACATGCAAGTCCTAGAACTCTTTCCTCCACCAAAAACCACCATCAGCATGTGAAGGGACTAGGCCTACATGTGAAAATTTTGTCTTCAAGTGACCAGACCATGTGAAGACTCTGTCACTTTGCATCTGTCCAACAGTATTACTGTGCAACGACAATGCTAGAAATAATGTTTCTGTTTCTTTGTACATATTTTTGAGTGCCTTTTCTCTTAAAATGCAGAAGAATTGTTTGTTTGCCATCAGTTGGCATGTGATGTATGTATGAGAGTTCAAAGATAGAGAGATGGTATCAAATATAGAGGTTCCTCTTCTCATCCTTAGTCATCCTTAGCAGAGTCGATGAAAACAATGTATATAGTTTTGTAGCTCCGAAGAAGAGAAGTACAATATTAGAGAAAAAACAAATCTTAGTACTTACTCATTCAGTTTTCAATCAATAAAACTCAATTTGTTCATATACTTTCTCTTATTCTCTTATTATACTCCCTTACTCCGACCACTGTTAATATAGCCGATCACCGTTAATACCGGTCATAACAGTTCCAGCAACAAAAGCAATTAAGTAAGTCTTTTTCTTTTTCATTTTGGTTTTCTTAGTAGACTTCTTGTCCAAAACAGGGAAACACTTTTTATAATTATGTTATTATCTTGCAAAACTGATGATCAATACTTTGGTTGAGCACCTGGTCATGGTTTATGTTTGCCATTGTGGGGGCTTTTTTGTTCCGACAGCTACTGATGGGCCTAGGCTGCTGTAAAGAGCCAAATGTATGAAATTGCCCTCTGAGTCTAATTTCAAGGATCAGACCCCAAGAGTGCTTCGAAAAGGTAGCTGAGCCTTAGAAAACACTTTGGTCTTCTTCACCAATGAAACCAACAATGACTTACAAATAGATTCTTAGCTTGGCATAAGAAGCTTGCGGCATGGAAGCAAAGCAGTCTTGAGTTTAGCATTAAAGAGAGAGAGGGTTGTGAGTTCCTATGAGAAATAGGGGTTTCGAAGTAGAGGAGAAAGAATTCTAAGAGGGTTTGTTGAAGAGAGAGATGTGGGGGAAGAACAATGGGTGTGTTGAGTAATTTCCGACAGCTTGACGAAAGCTCTGTCAAGCTCTGGAGCGATTTACCAGCAAAGAAAATGGGAGCAGATACAGGAATGGGGCTCGAAATTGCAAAGGTTCAGGGTTAGAGATGAAAGCTAAGATCTTGAAGACGATTGTGGAATTTTTCTAGAATTTTCGGAGCAGCCAATGAGAGCAATCTTTGAAGTTAAGTCAACATAAGATGCAATCCCATCAAAACTGTACTGTTGTGGAAGAATGACTATTTGAAGACTTTCCTAATTTTTCTCAAGGCGTGCGATATATGGCTGGAAAGATAAGACAACAATCTACAGTTCACATATTTTTGCCAAATTTTCTTGGAGGAGGAACAACCCCAAACGTGCCTGCAAAGTAACTGACGTGTTATCCCAGTCCAAGTAGGAAGAGGAGTCAATTACTTACTGTTGTTAATATGTTAACTCGCAATTGTACGGGCCAATTAGTAATATAGCAAGACAAGTACGAGGTCGTACCCACGAGGACTGAGAAGTTAAAATTAGTTATGTACTTAGATTACCAAATTCAAGAAAGTAGGAGGTTAAGTCTAAAATAGAATTTAAAGCAAGAGTGATTATAATTGTTGAACAAATGAGGCAAAACGAAATTTCAAACAAAAGCAAAGTGAGCAAATGTAACAAAGAGTGTTTTTGTGGGCTGGAAAACAGATTGGGAGACTAGGGCATTCGATTCACCATAACAATTCAATTCTAAGTTATAAGGAGTCAAGTGACAAGTCTAATTCAGATTCAAAGATTGATTCTAGCTAAAGTATGATTAGGCCATGGTGTCTGGTCCTAACCTTGTGTTCCTAATTCCCTAACTTGATCATTTGTTGTCTAACCTAAATTAAGCATTAGGAACTCATTAAGCATAGAAGAACAATTTAAACAACCAAGCATGTATCTGATCCCTGTTGTCGAATGTCCACACATACTTTTCTTATTCATAGTTCAATTCGAATCAAAGCATGGTGTCTACTCTTGATTCAAACCAAGATAGCTAATATACAAGTTCTAATGGTGATCAATCATCCAAACAAGCATATTAACTGATAAGCATAATGAATAAGAACATGAATCATGAATCAAACTTGAAACTCAAAACTTCAACTTATAAACCCAGAATATTCATGTTAGGTTACACCGAAGTCCTAGTTATGAATTTAGCTACTCATAATGGAAATGAAACTTAAACAGAAATGAGAAAACATAATGAATGTAATAAGAGTGGAAAAACCCATTTCTGAAGTTACTTGTGGTGTCCAAGGCTTCTCCAAGTGCTTTTCCACACCTAATGCTGTTCCAAGAGCTTCCTCACATCTAGAGTATGGCAACTAAAGAGGTGATTTGGGATGAGTTTGGGTGAGTGGTGATGGCAGAGAAAGAGGAAATTCGTAGGGAAATGGAAGGAAGGCTTGTTGGAGCTGTTTTGGTGATTTGGGGCTGAATGGAGTGTTTGGGGAAGGATGGGAGTGTTAGAGGATGGCTGAAGTGAATTTTAGGCTGAATGGAGTGACCCCCTTTGAATGAGTGTGCATCACTCTATTTATAGAGTGCAAATTCGTGCTCCCCCTTTGGCTGGTGAAGCACACCCATTCCTAGCTATTCCCACTTGTCTGAGCTGCCCATTAGGTTCCCATGCTGCTGATTTGATGTGTAGCCCATGCCTCTAGGAATGTCAGCTGCCCATGCCTTCTGAGTTTCCATGCTGATTTGATGTGTAGCCCATGCCTCTAGGAATGTCAGCTGCCCATGCCTTCTGAGTTTCCATGCTGTCTTGTCAGCACATGGCTCAACAGCTAGCAGTTGCATTCCTGAGCATGGTGTGCATTTTGATGGGCTC